ACTTGATTTTTTTTACCGAAAGGCATTGTTTTTTCTTCATTCTCGCTTTCTTGCAATAACCTTTAAAAAAATGGCCATGTCGCGAGTGGACAGAAGTTTGTGTTTCACTGATATTGGAGTCGTTTCCCCACAACAAAAGTTAATCATCAAGCTGTGTGCGGGGCGCTGCGTAACCCGGGGCGTGTGGGCGCACACCCCATCCCCCTATTAATAATATTATCATTAGCCATATTATCACGATTAGCATGTTAAAATACAAACCCTTTGTACATGTTTTATTCTGTTTTTCCTCGACAACTTTGTTATTCGCGATTTGAAGCAAATAACACTTTAGCACTAAAGCAAATAGCACTATTAAAGCAAATACATGTAGTCTGACATTGACCATGATGTTGGTTCTAAACAGCGCCCGCTGAATTTGGTCCCCATCTGTTATATTTTACGGAGGCCAAGTGTGTGGTGACAATAATTTGTCTATCACGAATAAAACTGGGCGCCCCTCCACTATCCAGCCCCACACATTTACCACAACTACCCTAAGCTTCCCTATTTCAGAACCGTGGCTACGCTGCAACTGATACCTGAAGACTATTTGATTTTCCTCTGCAATAACGTGCATTTGCAAGAGATTACAACGTTTCTTATTATTTCTTAATATAATCACTGCTGTAAAAAAAGTGTATGTGTGAATCAATAATGCTCTGTCTCCTTGTACGTTTAAAGTGGCCTTCGCTCACATTACTTATTTATTCACCACATAATATTTTTCTGAAGTTTTCCTCCCACATTTAGAAATGTAAATCTCATTTTCTTTTCTCTACATGTTTCTTCATTACCAGAAATAATACCAAAACAACAGTAATAATAATAATTAATAATCAATTCATAATATTTGTAGTATTCTTGGGGAAATATAAAAGAGGGAATATGTGCGACTCATAGCGAAGTGATATAATTTAGCCTAGAATAACATCTTCCTGTTCGACAGTGTGAGTCAGGTCTAGGGGCTGTGAAATAATTTAGTAATCAATTAATTCCAGCCCCATCACGTCATCCACATTGTGTTTAGGCATCCCCTACAAAGCCCACGAAATCATAGAGAAAACAAGACAAAACAACAATGAGACAAACTAAACGTATATAGACTTGACAACCGATGCGGAGACTGGTCATTTGACGTGGTTATGATGTGGAGACTGATCATTTCACGTGGTTAGCATGAGGAGACTGATAATTTCACGTGGTGAGGATGCGGAGACTGATCATCTGACGTGGGGAGGATGCAATGACTGATCTTTGGGCATTGTGAGGATGCGGAGACTGATCATTTGACGTGGTTAACATGAGGAGACTGATCATTTGACGTGGTAAGGATGCGGAGACTGATCATTTGACATGGTGAGGATGCGGAGACTGATCATTTGACGTGGTTAACATGAGGAGACTGATCATTTCACGTGGTTAGCATGAGGAGACTGATCATTTCACGTGGTGAGGATGTAGAGACTGATCATCTGACGTGGTGAAGATGCAGAGACTGATCATTGGGCATTGTGAGGATGCGGAGACTGATCATTTGACTGATCATTTCACGTGGTGAGGATGCGGAGACTGATCATCTGACATGGTGAGGATGAGGAGACTGATCATTTCACGTGGTGAGGATGCGGAGACTGATCATTTCACGTGTTGAGGATTTTGAGACTGATCATTTCACATGGTGAGGATGCAGAGACTGATCATTAGACATGGTGAGGATGCGGAGACTGATCATTTCACATGGTGAGGATGCGGAGACTGATCATTTCACATGGTGAGGACGAGGAGACTGATCATTTCACGTGGTGAGGATGAGGAGACTGATCATTTCACGTGGTTAGGATGCGGAGACTGATCATTTCACGTGGTGAGGATGAGGAGACTGATCATTTGACGTGATGAGGATGAGGAGACTGATCATTTGACGTGGTGAGGATGAGGAGACTGATCATTAGACGTGGTGAGGATGCGGAGACTGATCATTTGACGTGGTTAGGATGAGGAGACTGATCATTTCACAAGGTGAGGATGCGGAGACTGATCATTTCACGTGGTGAGGATGAGGAGACTGATCATTTCACGTGGTGAGGATGCGGAGACTGATCATTTGACGTGGTGAGGATGAGGAGACTGATCATTTCACGTGGTGAGGATGCGGAGACTGATCATTTGACGTGGTGAGGATGAGGAGACTGATCATTAGACGTGGTGAGGATGCGGAGACTGATCATTTGACGTGGTTAGGATGAGGAGACTGATCATTTCACATGGTGAGGATGCGGAGACTGATCATTTGACGTGGTTAGGATGAGGAGACTGATCATTTCACGTGGTGAGGATGCGGAGACTGATCATTTGACGTGGTGAGGATGCGGAGACTGATCATTAGACGTGGTGAGGATGCGGAGACTGATCATTTGACGTGGTTAGGATGAGGAGACTGATCATTTCACGTGGTGAGGATGCGGAGACTGATCATTTGACGTGGTTAGGATGAGGAGACTGATCATTTGACGTGGTTAGGATGAGGAGACTGATCATTTCACGTGGTGAGGATGCGGAGACTGATCATTTGACGTGGTGAGGATGAGGAGACTGATCAGTGGGCGTGGTGAGGATGTTGGGTGCTGACAGCGGAAATGTGGCAAAGATGCTGTCGGTGCATGGGGACTCTGCTCTTTATAAAAGGGTGCTCATACGCTCACTGATGGTTGCTTTGTCGCTATTGTGTAGCGTTGGGGAGGGTATATAGGAGACAAATGTGCCGGGGAAAAGGGCTGGGTAATCGGAGATATAGGAGATCCATCCATCCATCCATCCATCCATCTATTGTTTGTAGACAATGACGGCCTCTCAAATTCGTTGAGAATGCCACTCTCTAACAAGCCCGATGCTTTCAGTTGTTTCCCCATTATATTTCATAAATAAATGGTCTATGGATTGTTTTAATCGACTCTACGTCTTCACTTAAATTCTTGAAAATACCATTTGGCCCAAAGGCCCGTACATGATTAGACTTTTAGGAAACTTTTGCAGTAATCTTCACGTGAAATGTTTTTTAATGCAATGGAATTGTTTCTTTTGTGAACAAGAAACTATGCACTATGCTTATAAGTTCCGTGCCATATTTAATAAATCATTATTTCCATTTACTTATCATTTTCAGAAAAGATTTGCCAATGGTATGAAGCTTTTAATGCGCTTATTTTTTTTATAGCCTTGTAGACCGTCTTTGCACAGCAGTGGTTTTATACGAATTTGCATCCCAAGTGACTCTCGTGAGATTTGCAAATAAAACGGAAACAAACATACATGAACTTGATATTTATGTCTTTGAAAACAAATTTTTACTTTGACATCGAACTGTTACAAAATGTCTTCTTTCTGAATTGTCAAAAGAAACGAGTGATATTCTGAGATTTTTCAAAATTTCAATTAAAGCGATAATATAATTATAAAAAAAGAAGAGTTATAATAATGCCAGGCCTAAATGGCTCATTCTGTGCTTTGTTATTATTACTGATGGCAGCTTGAGCAATGGGGGTCTGAACCCTTTTCTAAACTAAAACCACCAAAAACAAAGCAAAGAAGAAGAAATATGGATTGTCTACTATTTTTGTCTGAGCATGGGAAAACAATGAACACATTGAAGGTGTTCACTACATTTCGAATTAAAGTTTAATACGATACCGTTTAACTGTGGACGTGGAGCCGATTATTTGGTTTAAATGGTGATATAATTTAAACGGATTGAGCCATTGATTGTTTTTTTGTTTTTAGCTTACCAGTATTAATTATTGTGGTGCGACTTTTTAAATATGAAATATATTTCTTTTGTGTTTGGGTCTACTTTTTATATTTATTCTGTTTATGTAATAAGTTTCCGGTCTCCAAATGACAACAGTGGATCTAGGAGGATTGGCAAATAGGGGCCATGCTCCCACACCCCCCCCCCCAAAAAAAAAACCCCGAAATTTTTGTTGTTGTTGTTGAGTAGCCTAACGTCGCAAAAAGTTAGCCATTGCGTACACAATATTTTGGACAGAAAAATCTCCCCACCTCGAAAAAAAAATGCTGTCTGGATCCGGCCTTGCTAAATAATTACGTTTCTCCTTCTTTTGGTGTGGCGTTTAATGAGAGTAAAACAGCAGTCTAGTTAATCCGAAAACTTTTTGTAAAAAGACATCGTACACAAACAATTAATGTAATATTCAAATCAAGTAAATGAAAAATGACAAAAACCAAGAAGTTCAGTGTCAACTTTAAATCTCGACTAGTGCTTCTACAATTTCTTGCTTAATTTTCCTTTTTTTCATAATTTATAACCCAGATACATGTACACTCTCCACCGCCGCGCCATGGCAACCTCCATAATACTCAATAAGAAGTATCACGACTTGTCAATAGCGCCCTCTATATGTGAAAAGATGATCATGCCATGAGAATCTACTAGTACTGCATTTACTTGTTCATTATTGAACGACCCCCCCCCCTCAAAAAAGGATAGAATCAAGCAACAAAGGCCCCCCTCCCCCCCAAAACCCCAAACCAACCAAACAAACAAACAAAACTTTGCAACTGCTGTCCCTACAGTTTGTAGGCTTGTAAGACCTCTAGTGGTGTTTACAAATTGGTCGAGTCGACACAGTCCTGGGGGAGGATGGTCTTACGCAGTGCAGAAATCCGGATCTATACATACGCTGGAATCGGGGCTCGACCCATCCGCTCCCACTTTTTTTATTACGGTCAAATTATTTTGCAACTAGAAATCGTTGTTTGCAAAGTTTGGACACATTCACACAATATTTCACACCATCTTCATTACAAAAAAAAAAACCACCATGGATATGCCCCTGCCCTTCGAATACCCTTTAAGAGTGCATCTCTGCCACAGATAATTAAAAAAAAATTGTAAAGTGGAGATGAACATGATAGATAGACACAGAGGCAATATTGAGAAGTGTGTTTCCACAGAATTATTGTGCAATCTTCGTTTTAATAATCAAGTAAATACTAAAATAACAACATACATGTACATGTAGTATAAAATATTAACTAAATTACATACATTTCACGAAAACAAAGTATAACAAATTACGGTTTGTTATTGTTGTTTATCAAGAACTTAAATGCAACAGTTTGTTCAATGGAAACAAGTGACACAGTGTGAGACATATTACTAACATTATGTTTTAATTAGATTAGTTGATACAAAGTTGGAAATAACATACATCCCAAGATCAGTAACACCCCCCCCCCCCATGAAACAAAGGTTTTGAGAGGAAGTTTAACATCAGGTTACAATTTACAAGTGAGGTTTTATGTGCGTGAACAGATGCGTGTCTCTAATGACCCACTGAAGATAATGTTCATTGTCTTAAAATCTAATAACTAATGTGATTTGGTTCTTCTCGTATACTTGAGTTATAACACCACATTGAGTAGTACAACAATCCCTGGTATACTAAATATATACATCAATCAAAGATTGTGTCATACTTGACAAATCACCTTTATGTTTGGATACAATGCTATTCTATCAATCAAACGAAATCATAGCTTTACGTGGTAGAAATGTACATGTACAATATAACGTTTGGAATGACACCATGTAATAATCTTTATTTGTAAATCAATCTGTCTTGCATCCAAATCCATTTGCTTTCATTCAAATTCAATCAATTATAACCATGGGAAAACTCAATAAAAATAATCATGCCTGTTTATGTGTACATGCATATTAATAAAGTTTTTAAAAATATTAATCAGAGCAAAGAGAATCTGGTGAGTGTTCTGCAAAAAAATACTCATACTATATTGGGAAATAATACAGAAAAAAAATACAGAGTTGCAGAGTCCAACAAATCCCTATTGCTACATGTATATGGGGTACATAAATTACTATACGTTCCATTATTTGCTGTTGTCAAGTAGCTGCAGCAAACTAGTTACTTGATGCTGGAGAAGTACCTACATCTTGAAGAATAATTCACTAAGTGAAATCTTTCATATTTTATTTCTTTTCAAAATTGAGCATCCAAGATATAACTGATTCGGATGCATTAAATTTCCTGTATCTTGTATAGTACCAAATATATTTCAGTAATCACGCACTTCACGCTAATAAATAAATTCAACAAAGCCACACCTGCAAACATGTGTGTTTTTGTGTTTTGATTTCTACCACTGACTCCAAGGTGGGTATTTTGCAATAGGTAAACACCCTTTTTTTTTTACATACAAACCTCATTACATGTTCACAAATCACATCACAATGATCTAAATGTGTGTGCTGGAAGAGAATAATACTTTATGGACAACAAGACAATAACAGTCCATGCTGTTCAAATATTGTATCAGACATTAACAGTGCATATTGTTCAAAAAAGGTCTGGTAAAACTTACAACTAATATCAAGAAAAATTATCCTGTCATACTCAAAATATGTTCTTCAAGGAATGAAAGGATTAGATGCCAAACCCAAGAACAACAGCAACTGTATCAAGCAGAGGGGCAACTGCCAGCCCCCACCCCAGACTGACCGTCAGATTTTTGATTTTCCTTTTTTTCACTTTCCATAAATGGCATGATACAGAGGTCTGACACAAACAAAAAATAAAGAAAACCACGCAAACAAAATGCATCACACCAAGCAATTTGATTTGGCGTCCCCCAAACATCAAATGCTAAAAAAAAAGAAGTTTTGCGCAACCAACGACATGACTAGGGTTAAGCATAGGGAGGACCCGAGTGTGCATCATTTTTTTTTTTTTGAAGGGAGAATGTATACATTGTGAGTGTGCAATTCGATATTTCAAAGGGTTACGAGTGTAACACGTTTTAGTTGGGTGGCATAAGGTCGAAATCGTGTCAACTGGTTCAAACCACTAAAGTTGGCTATTCTTATAGCCCCAACATAAGATATTTAGAAGGGGTGACACCTGAAATTCTTTTGGGAATGGTGCTTAAATTGCATAAATCGCTAATGGTTAGTACCTGCAGTGTAATATATTCCCATATTTGGCAATGTTTGGGTATATAAATACACATATAGTGAAAAGTATGTTTTGGGGATTCCACTTACTGGTACATATCCTTACTTAAATAACGTTTTCTGCATCATACTACAGACTGGATGATACGAGGACATAATAAAGATCCCAAATGGCTAATATTATACCCTAAAGTTGTGCCCATTCACTTTTTCCTTGGATATCGTCAACAAGTCTCGCCAAAAGTTTGAATTTACAAGCTTCAAATTCACAAAGTCATTTACTGGCACTGTTACCCTCACAAAAATAAATCATATGATTGAGGACAGTATCATGATACTTAGCTACAAGAAAGGGGGAAAAATCAGGTGTCCGTAAATAGTGCTAAAATTAGGCGAAGGGTTGCCTGACGTGGGAGACCTGAACAAGTTCTAGGAAATCCGCAATATAAGACATTATTGTTGTTTTTAATAATTAGGTCTACGTCAAAACGTTTTCTTACCAATAATTTAGGGAATTTCCTTGAACTTGTTCAGGTTTCCCTTGTTAAGCAACCCTTCACCTACCTTTTTGCCTAATTTACGGACACATAGTTTTTTTCCCTGTTTCTGCTTTTTGGGCTATATATAACAATATTAGCATTGTTTACATGATTTCCCATAAAGTCTTAATAGGGTAACTGTGCCAGTAAGCGACTTGGTGAATTTGAAGCTCATAAACACTGAGATTTGGCAAGACTAATTGATGATCTCTGGAGACAACTGAGGTAAATGCAGCCAACTAGTATAATGGAAGTCATTTCAGATCTTTACCATGTTTACATTATCATTCAGTCACTTGTGGGCTTCATTACATGTAATTGAAGTAGGGTGTGTAAGGACGATCACCAAAATATACTTTTTAAAAAGTAAAAAAAAAAAAATACAAATATGCCCAAACATGGCAAAAAAAAAACATATTACATGGCAAGTGTTGATGATTTATGAACATCAGGCACCCTTCCCAAAAGATGTTCAGGTGCCACTTCTTAAAAATATCTTCTCTAGGGCTATAACAATCTATCTGCCACGTTGGTGCTTTGGACCAGTCGTTCACGATCTTGTAAAAAATGGGGTCTAAGCCATTCGACTATTTACACCTAATAAAAATACAATAGAACACAACAAACAAACAGCAATATAATAAACATTCTCCTATAGGTTTTATGACCACCCTTGGATTCTAAAACCACCAAGTAACATGTATACACTTAAGTGCAGATATGCTTCTCATATTCTAATGAACGCTTTGTTTTTTCATGTTCTTCCCCCACAAAAAAAATCTGCAGTGCCACAAAAAATTGTCTTGAGCCATATATGACAGCTGAACCTTGATGCGCTGGAGTGACGAGTTCATCTGTTCGGCAACTTGGCTGTTTATCGCCTTGTATTTTGAGTACCCATCTAGTTTGTACCCAACGGAACAGGCTGATGAAAGAATATGAAACAGAAATGTATTAATTCAAATTACTGAAAAGATATAGACAAATGAAATGCACTGATCAGGCACACAGACATGAAGTGGGTACTTGTGTATGTGATGAAGAGGTAACAAGAGGGAAATTATGGGACTTCATTCTTGAAGACCACATTGACAAGGTAAAGGGAAACCCTATGAAGAAAATTATGATTTCTATATTGCAATATTGCTATCAGCTTATGTAATGAAGTTTAATTGAACAAAATAAGGATGAATCCCTCAGGCAGGGCCACTTTCCAGCTTCAAAATAATTTTAAGATTAGTGCTGACAATAATCGTCATCTTCCAGGCTCTCTTGATGAAAAGGTTATTTTGCTATCCAAGTGACCCATAGGATTGCACCAGTTACTGTTAAAATCGTTGGTCTTGTTAATCAAGGGTGTGAGTGACCACTGATAAAATAGCTGAAAAAGGTGTAAAAAAAACTATACTTTTGTACACAGCAAGTGAGGGAAAAAAAGCTGAAATTCTTGAAAAAAAAGGCGAAATCAGCTCTAAAACTAAAATTTCACACCCGTGAAATTCTTCTCATATCTCATTTCAAATAACAAATAGCATTGTTTGAATATCTGCTGTCTGTCTTCACTCTATTTTGTGATTTACACTGTAGAACAGTGTACCTGTTGCACTACTGTAAGTATTAAGTTTAAGTATCGTTTTGGTTTGCGGTAACACCATGTCATAATAACTACTGCTAAGAAGATATTTAGTTCTGATAAGAACTTGTCCTGCTTATTATCAACGTTCACCAAGTAGTTGTACTTCTAATAGAACTTAAAGCAGGACTGTTCTTATCAGAACTAAAAGTACTTAGTGGAAGTTGATAACAAGCAGGACAAGTTCTTATCAGAACTAAATAATTGTCTTCTAAGCAGAATTTATTACCACAAAGTGTTACCGCAAACCGAAATGATACTGAAACTCCACCATGCAATGCCTAAAAGTATTAAGTATGACGTTAATTTGGCATTTTCTTCTTTTTTTCTCAGGCTTGTATTTTCATCATTCTTGTATTTTCTTGTTTTATATTACTCACATTCATGCGAGTAAGATGTGGCTTTAAGTGTCAGAAAGTGGACATTGATAATTATCCGTAAAAATATTTGATATGATTCCAACTGAATGGAATACACTTGTGTTACAGTCATCAAAAAAGAAATAAATAAATAAAAAAAATATACAATCAAGAATTACCAGTATGATTGGGCCAGTGTAGTCTGTCGATAAGAAACTTGGTCTTCTTAAACATGCCAGGCTCCCGATTTAGGCAGTAGGCATGAAGATGACAGGCGTTGTCATACACAATCATCTTTGGAGCTACGTAAAAAAAAAAAAACCAACATACATTTGATGAGAACAATAATGTAAATTTAAGGTTTATCAAAAGATCAGTTTGCTTCCATGGAATGTGTGTTCAGCGACCGCTTGTTGCAACTGAATTGGTAGTGTGCATTTGAGTTCATTCCCATACCAGGCATGAAGTGAGTAACATAAGAAAAAGTCTGAAGAAGCAGATTTGCTACCATATGCCTTCATTGAGTGTTATTCGCAAGTCACCCATGTTAACAAACAAATGCTTCCACAAAAATGCAACATGCTTAAACAATTTCACTTCAATATTTTTTTTTTAGTGTCATACATTCATCGTAATTAAGTGAAAATCATTATAAAGGCCAAGGAGGATTACCGGTGCATAACGATAGGGACTGTTTTCTTAAACCTTTGTTTAGGTGCTGCAAACAAATCGATGATCTTCAGTTGTGTGCAAATTTACAAATGTCAATGTAAGTTATAAATCATGACTGAATAAGCCTCTGTACTGATGACGTCACACTCCGTTTACGTGTGCGCTCTCCTATGGTGCTCAGTTGACCGTGGGCCCCCACTGGCTCCATAGGAAAGTGCACATGTAAACAAAGTGTGACGTCATCAGTACGGAGGCTTATTAAATCAACAGCTATGATTTGTTGAGGAAAACACTACTTACGTGTCTCAAATCGTGTGAGGAGCAAAGTGAAGGGCACATTCGGTGATTCAAACTGGTTCATAATTTCGAAACCATAACAGATTCCTGAACAAATACAAAATGAAAGACAGTCTTTAATAAAATAGATAGGATTATGTGTACATGTATACTTAAACAGCAAACAGAATGTTGTCACGTAATAATCGTTTCCTGAGGACTGCTATGAATTGTGGCATAATTTGGCCTTTGAGGGAAGCAAAACTTCATGAAAACCTTGCCAGAACAGAAAGTCTTCGAAATACAGGAAATGGGGAACATTGTTTATGCTTTGTAATAATAAGTGGAATCAAAGTTTCAAAAAAACAGGTAAAAATCTTGTGAGAGCCACACGAAACCAGAAACTATCGCATTTACATCACACTTTATATTCTCATTAAAGTATCAATCACAGTAATACTAAATTATCCCATTGCATTGTCATGGAGCCAGACATATTACTACTATTATTCAAACGACTGTAATTACCACTAGGGTAATCCAGTCGGCTTTGGTGTAGAGAAATTTGGTCTTTGGCAGATTGTACATTTTATGATTGCCCATTAAATTATTCTTAGAGAAACATACACATGGACAATACTTTTCAAATTATTGCCAGTGCTGTTAATACATGTTTTGGATTTCCCAATGTGTTCCTTGTGCTTGCAATGTGGTAGGTTGCATCATAATTGCTGGTTCAAATTGACTTTCAGGCTGTTTTTTTCCCCTACCCAGCATTACTTGTTCATTGACAATAAATTTGAGTGCAAGTATTACCATGGGGACAGAAAGCAGCAAATACTCCAGGTGTCATTCTCCCGTAATTTTTGGAATCCTTCCTGCAACTGGTCCTGGTGGTCTTCAAGCCATCCATTGCATATTTTGGCCTTAACCGTTGTTGGGGGAAATGGGGCCAAAAACACATGCCATCGAAGTCGTCTGGTGGTGGGTGGTCTGTGCTTCTCTCAGCCTGAACAGCAGCAGGAGATTGTGAAGAAGTTGACTGCTCAAATGGGGCTACTGCCAGACGAAGCAGCTCACAAAGGACAGGAAAGAGTACTTCAGGAAGAACTTGCTCCGATGCAATGAGGTCAGCTATTATAGGACACTATGAACAAAATATCAATTCAACAATATACAGGGTGAGTCAAAAAAAGATGAACCCAAACCCCTAAAAATGTATTTACATTTGTGTGAAGCTCCAAAATAACATCCACTTTTTTGGCGACAGGCCTTCAAAAGGACATTGTTCATCATTTTTAACTTTTAAACTGAGGTTTTACAATTGTATCTCAGGTGATGTTTGCAGACAAGAGTGATGAAGATTCTTGAAATTGCATTTTTGGGATGTGACAGGTTTTAGGGTCATTGTGCTTAAATGATGATATTCTTTTAATGCATTGAGCAATTTCAGTATTTTTTTTATCTAAACGTAGCTCTTGAAATTGGCAAAGACGAAATCGGCATTTTATCAGTTATCACATATTTTAGATAATATTGTGTGATAGAAAACTTTTAAGTTTTATAAGAATATTGAGTAACTATTGAGCACTTGGTAATTTCCTCTTCTGTTTTAACTACAAAGTTGAATGCTGGTAGCACGGGCAAGCCATTGAAAACTTCTTTAAGAGTGCTAGGTGTCAGCACTGACATCTGAGCAAAGAAACATGTACACATCAATTAAGGCCAAGTAAAAAAAAATGCTTAGCATCATGCCTTTTTGAAAAACAAGGGAGGATGCCCTTTTTCCCCCCTCCAAAATGGCTGCCAGACCGGGCTATTTTTCAAGATGGCCGCCAGTTTTTGTTTTTAAATGACCATCACTTGAATTCAGGAAATGACAAACCAGCTTTATAAGGGCTAGATGCAACAAACAAGCCAAAATGATGTCATTGTTTAAAATGTATCATTTTTTACAATTAACAAAAAAGGAAAGAGGTGGCCTCCAAAATAGAAGCGGGCAGGAACGCAAAACATGTAAATTGTTTAATTTGGCCTACGACAGAATTCAATATCTCATCTTCTATTACCTACATGTACAAAGTACTTCTCCCACATAATCATTCCTCAATCTCTTCGATGTCATGTTTCAATAAAGTTCGATGATGTACGTTGACCACCTTCAACTCTTCTTTTTTCATTCATTAGCATCAGTTTTTTTTCACATAGCACAATGCGTTCATCCCATTATTTTGTAATGCATGTCACTGTTGCTGTTCACGTTTGTTTGAATATTACCGTTAATATAATTTTTAACAATCATTGTAAATATTAAGTTTTGCTGAAACCAAATATTTTTAGTCCTTGGATTTTTTAAACCATAAAACGGAAATGAATGAATGAATGAATCCCATGTTCTTGTATGGCCTTGTACTGTGTTTCCATTTATCCTTTCTGAAACTCTGTTATGACAACAATGTGAAGCCATATCTGAGTTATTAGGACTATTCTTCAGTTCTTCAATGAGTCCTAAATGCTCCCTAAAGTCCACTGCTATTTGCTCAAACTGCAAACCACCCTGGATATTCAATGCACTATTTGCTCTTATCCATTCACAAGAATACTGAAAACAGCCAAAAGGAAAATATGCACTCCACTATCAGTTTAAACTATCACGTGCATCTGAAAAGTGCCACCATCCAAGGTACATGTATGTGTGTAGGTTCCTATTCCATTTCTTTCCACCCTTTGAGATGGTTAACATAATTCTGTAGAGCTGTGCAATTGTTCTGTCTAGCATGTTGTCATTTTGAAGAAAGCAATAAAAGAATGACATTTCCAAGATAATTATAAGATGACACATTTTTGGAGATATCTGTAATAATATTATTTTTTTTTATTCAGGAAAAACTTGTGATTGATTCAATGCACATCCAAGGATATTTGTTATTATTCCTTGCTTCAGAGCATGATTGCATAGTTGCAATCGGCTGCATTAAAAAACGTTTGAATTTTAAATCAGGAACATAGTATGCTTTTTGCTGAGTATTCATCATTCACAAGTTACATGTACATGTAGTTATTAAGCACCTTTCTTTAGATTTTGAGTACTGTAGTTACATCAAACGGAAAATATGCACACTAACAAATAATACACCATACTGTTATACCTCATTAATAAGTATCTCTCTGTACCTACGTAATCTAACTATTGCATGGGGATTTATGCTAATATTACAATGGAGCACTAACCTTGTTTGTGAGAATAGCCATAGCATTTAAGTCTTTTCTTGGGGAAAATCCATGAGCCATCTTCTCCAACAGTTCTAATAACTCTGCCTCTGGATGGAGCAGTCCACAAACTGGAGAAGTTGCAGACAAAGCTTGCAATAACGGTTTGTAAGTTGCAGGTGGGGCTGTTGCATGTCCAGTTGAACCCAGCTCATTCAGAAAAGGGAGTAGGCTGCCTTGATGTTCCTTGCATCCATCAATAAGCATCAGGAAGTCATTGGGAGGAAACGGATGTGCCTCTGACGATCGGGCAAACTTCTTTAACAACTTCCTTGTTTGGGTGTCAACCAGAAAGATGCTTTTTCTGTAAACAGTATAAAGAGAAAACAGTAAAAGTAATTCACATGAACATTAAATCATCTAGCTAAGCGTAATGTCAAATGAACAATTCATACAATTTCCAGTTGAGACACAATCCAAATGAGACAAAGCCTTCAAATGCATGAATCACTCTGTGTTAATTAATTGGCATTAAAAGAATCACAGGATTACCATGGAGTGCTGTTGCATCAAAGTTTGGAGCATTGAATTCATGATGTAATCCTACAGGTGGTGGGTTCAAGTCCAGCCTGGGGTTATCGTGTGTGTGCCCTTAGACAAGGCGCTTTGTCACACATTGCTTCTCCCCATTCCTATTTTAGCTGCTTTGCGCCTAAATTGCAACAAAGAGCTGTATACTATGCAGCGAAATGGGATGGTCTTTGGAATATGTTTCGTTGGCCGAATGAGAAGGGTAATATAATGATGCAATCAATAATGGTGAATACCTGCACTTTATAAATACCCCTAATTATTATTATTTGTTTTTATTATTACAACTAATATAAGCTGTATTGTAATGTAAGTGAACTCTTTTGTGGAATCATGATTCTTTACAACAAAACTACTGAATAAAGTAGCTGGAAAAATTAGAGTCCAGAACACAATTATAAGCCTTATCTGCTTGACGACTGTTTTGCTTCTTTGGTAGCCTTCGGCACATTGTCCTTCCACAGCGATAGGTCCTTGCGAAGGGAAAGGTGGGTAGCATCACAGATGATTATATCTGGCTGTGCGCCACACGTTTGTTCCCTGCAGATAAACTGCTCGTGGTAATCGATGTCCAGCAGACGCAGGAACCCATACCATGCCCATACAAACTTGTTGTAGTGCAGTTGTGATGCAAAAGAGCTATGTCCAGCATCATTCTGCATTTGCACCCAAACACTGTAAAATCCAAACATGGGTGATCTGAGGAGACAGATGAAATACATTGTATTCTTGCAATGTCAACTTACAGAAAGATGCCCATGTACAGTCAAGTTTCTATTAGCAATGAATACTACCAACTACAAGAAAATAATGAATAAATAATTCATTATTGTGCATAAATATTTCATTATTGTACATACATGCATGTTATACAGAAGGAATTTGATGATGGCTGTCATTGTGTTATATTGTAAACATGTTTTTGGGTTTTTTTTACATCCTGAGCCAAACGTGAGATCGTATATCACCCATGGCAAAATTCCCAGAGGTCCTAATCCTATAGTAACTTGTATTGCCATTCATGCTTTCATTGAACATTGCTCTGTGATGTGCTGCAATGATCCAGTTTTCAAATCTCTTTAAGGCCAAGAAAAATAAAACACCAGTTGATCGTCCCGGGAGGATGAGGGTCTTTATATAGCCCTTTCAAATAATTCTAGGAATGCACACCTTCCATACAGAAACTGGTACATGTACTGTCTCAGGACGGAGTGGTCAATCAAGTAGGTTGTCATGTTGAATAGGCAGTCAGACAAGCCATCATATTGAAGTTCAGAGTCACACATCTCATTGCTGCACTTCCTGAAGAAAACTAAATACAATATGGTTCCTCAAAATCAAAATTTGATGTACAACTAATGACATAAAATTGATCTACACACTTCGTACATGAAATGGTATAAGTTGAAAATTCACAATTAATTTTCTTTGGAATTGAACAGTGTAGTAGAATTTACATTGTGAACCAAAATTTTTACTGTAGGAGATGTACAGACCTGAAACGTTATGTCATTGAAGGTTTTGGATGTTGACAGATAGTGTGCCGAACGGTGTTACATAAAAACGTATTTAAAATGTTAAAATGTTTGACTAGATATGCATGATGCCCCTTTTGAAAACCATTTCGTCTTCCAATCTTTGACATTATTTCTGCATGCATACAGTATGAGTCAAAATGGAAGCTAAAATAAATGATTACTGTGGTGAAAATTATGAACACATATACAGGGTGAGTAAAACAAAAATAAAACAAAAATTTGGGACCATTTTTTTTAAAGTGAAGTTCTGCATATAGCGCCTTCTTTTTTTCCACACTGAAAAGGTTTATGTTGTACTCAGTCATTAAGACTTAAGCATCGTGCAGACAGGCAAGTCAACCGTTTATTCTGAAGTTTAAAGTTATAAAACTATGTTCTTTGTCAAAATCAACAAAACATGAGTAATTCATACTGGGTAGCAATCAGTAAACACCAAGCACGACTTGCTTTACTAAAATTGCTCTCACGTCGTTTGGCTTGATCAATGACAGATTATTACTTCTTTTCTCAATCCAACAAAATACTCCTTCAACCTGTTATTAAAATTTAAGATACATGTATGTGTTTGCAATATTCAACAACCAAAAAATCATTTATCTCGAGCCTGGTTTTTGACTTGCATTGTATGTACACCATTTATATTAAAATGCTGTCCAAAAGAATCAATCAATGTGTCCCCTGCAGGTCATCTATGTCTGAAGCTGGATTTATAGAGTTCTGAAGTGTGACGTCATTTAGAACTAGAGTAGTGCAATCGAATGGAGTACGCGCGTGTTGGTTCATGGGCTGAATCACGCGCTAATGCCTTTTACACACATTCTGTGCACGTGATGTATTCACTTCAATACCGTAATTCTATAGGAATGAAAGCATGGAACATTGTTGACCCTTTATACATAACGACATCAAGTAATTCTGACATCTAAAAAAAAATGTATTGTGATATACATACAACTTTTGGAGAGGGGAAGGACACAATTAATGTACATAATAACATGTTTTTCATACCTGATGCTCGATGAATTGACTGTAGAGTGAAAACAGGATATTCACCCTTCAGGTAGATGTCATTACTCCATGATGCGTGACAGCATGCGCACATACCACCTGGTGTGGGAATCAGGTGAAGATTGCCATTGACTGTACAACCCCGTTGCATAACAGGTTTGGCAACCATGTCTTGTAGATGAATGCTCTCAAGCTGAAAGGGAATGCGCTTCCAGGAAGCCACTGATCCTGCTCCTGCTTTCCTTTTAAGAGAAGTTGACTCCAAAAGAGCAGACATCTCCAATAAGAAGACCGGCAAATCTGTCACTTGCTCAAGAATATCCTTGATCTTACTGATGTGCTGACAATCGCCCCTCCTGCATGTCAAACACTTCAACCCATTGCCCACGATGTCAATGACGGCAAATGATTGATCCGTAACAATGACCGCAGCACGTGGATTTCCACACACAGGCCACACATCATTGAGATTGGGAGGAATTTGCTGTGGCATACGGAAAAAAAAACCCAACCTTTCTTTACCAATGCATAGGAATATATATATCTATATGTACACTTAAAAGGGTAAATATTAGGCCAAAAAAAATAATAGTTGTGTGTCCGATACCTTGGCATTTAAAAATAGGGTAGGAACCTTAGGTCGATAGGAAACTTCATATTTTGTTTTGGCATTTCTGGTGCGTACGATCATATGCAGGTGTCAGCGTGTAGTAAAGGGAGTAATTGAAAGTTTTCAAATTTTTCCCCTCATTCCCCCCCCCCCAAAAAAAAATAAATCAGGACCAGAGCTGTAAAAATCAGGTAGCAAAAATATTTTGTTTGGCCTTATTAATGAGTTGGAATTGATGCATACCATCCAAAATGATTGAAGTTCAAAATTCAAGTTTATTATTCACACTAAAAGGTGAAGAGATTCAGCTTCCACTGGCATTTCTAAACAATGACATTACATAACACCATTAAACCAATGAATAGAACACTATAACTCACTCAGCTCTCTTCAGCTTAATAAACTCAAGAGACCTGAGAAATAGATTACAGGAATATTTCGTCGCACAGCTGACATACCGACAAATAAGCAAAATCCCTGTTTCAAGTAATTCGCGTTTGAAGTTGGGCATTTTTCTGGGCGTCCCTAATGTTTCGATAATAACCCTTTTGGTGTATATTCAAAATAAAATAGGAAATGTAGTATCCATCAGGTTAGTTGTCCCACATGTTTTCATTCGACCATAAATGTATTCCTCAGTTTGTCAAATTACAAAAATCTCAGTTTGTCAGATCGCACTCGCACTGCATATTAATTACGCATTCAACATGAAACATGCAATGTTATTTTGATCATAATACAGGAAGATAAGTGCACAATGAATTTAGTCTTAAAAAGTCACCGTTTTTGACAACCACAGTAGCACATCATTTGTTTGTACTTTGAACGCACTCCTTACATTAGCTGGTTACCAGGGACATTTTGTATTTGTCACTATGTCACATTAAGGATTTGTTACTTTGACTGATTGGCCTCAGGCCGGGCTCCGAATCTCAAAATCCAAATAAAAATTAAGAATTTTGGCATAAATACTTAAAAGAGCAACCTTTAAAACCACGAAAGTGACAAAATCTCAAAATTGCCAAAATGGTTGATTTGCTGGTTTGTCAGCTCTGCGACGATTTGGTCTCCAGCAGCAGCAGCAGCAGCAGCATGGGGGACACCTCATCCCCAACAAACACCCCCTCTGCCCTTGAAATGCGCTAGGCACTTTTCACAAGAAACATAGAACCATGAGGGACCAACAAGAACTCCAAACACAGGAAACTAACATCACCACTTACCACATCCTCTTCAAGGCCAGATGCGTGTGCATAGCTGTGGTCTGAAAGAAAATATTGAAACAATTTTAGTTCACAATTTATCACATAACACTGGAAAACATTCTTGATACAAGTGCTCTAAGGTATATGCGTCTGTAACAAACAACATTCAGTTAATTGTTGAGAAAATATTTGATTCAAGAATAAAGCACTACAAATCAAGGTTAATACATGTACTCTTATTTGATCATTATACAGAACATACTTGGATGCAAGGACAAAAAAGATTATTTGTTTTGCAGAGGGACTTTTAGCGCATAAGGGACAGATATTGAAAAAACTGGAAGCCTCTATACATGTTCATGAATCTCAATATTTAAAGTTTTTTAACTGGAAACATAATTTAAAAACTTTTTTCAGATTTGAATGGTTTCCAGATAATGTGTATTACCAAAGATCCATTTACAATATTAACAAAACTGCTATTTATGGAAGCTATATTTAGTTCAAAATGCACCGTTATAGAAGATCAGTGCATCTACAAAGTTATATAATTGGTTGACATGGTAATTATTAGGAGCCGGATCAGTAATTTCCATGTATTTTCCCATCCCGAAATCAATAATTCTTGACTTATAATGTAGCTTTATTTCTTTAGCATTTCAGAGTCATTTGTATATATAAATAGTTAATATTAATGTTTGTCGCATATTTCACAAACACGATTGGGACCCAGTCTTTAGGTCTGCTTTAACCAGAGATTGTATTACAGTGGTTGTATTCATAATAACTGAAGTCAACTGTAAACTTGGAATGGCAGGTGATGTACCGGTAGGTTTACCTTGGCTTTGATGGTGAGCTGTTATCCCAACATTTTCGTCAAATCTAACCAGGATACCAGCAAGGCAGTCGATGTGCAGACATCCCGGTAAATCTATGAGAAGAATGTTCCGCATATTTAGCCACCCAAATGTAACACTAAGTCATAATTACAATAACATCTACACATCACATTTGGGCTATGAACCACAAAGTAATAATAAAAATAAAAAATTAATAAAAAAAGTAATAAAAATAAATAAACATTACAAAAAAAATCCCTTTGGGAGACATTTCCACAGGATTGTGCCAAAAAAACTAACAATCATTTGTCATTATCCTTCCCCCATGACAAGCAATGGATCAAGCCTTCATTGTATTGAATAACGTTAAAATTCACCCACAAATAAGAGTTATGATTTTTAGGGAGACATTAAAATGTATGGTGTCTCCATAAGGTATAAGAATAAAATTTTCTCATGAAGGGTACAATACCATGTTTAATATTAATAATAATAATAATAACAAATAACTACTAAAAATGGTACCCTCAGGGAAACATTCCCATAAACATGTGATTTAATTTGTCTTCACTTTTCTTAACCCCAAAATGTGTATGATGACTTGACAAGAGAACTCTAGAAGTTGTGGAAGGTGAAGGTAAAAGGTGATTCTGGTCATTGTGGGACCCTCAGTACTATTCCTTGGTCCCAGAAACAAAAATCTCAATGAAATTGGTACAAAAGCGGCTCTTTGGGGAACAGGGATCTGAGGCATTCAGACACATGCACCGCCATGGTCCCCTTTTTGGTTTCAAACTGCACACCACCTTGCATGAGTCAACCACTGTAGCCATGTGGCCGTGGGGACACACAGTGATGAAATAAACACTGCATAAAAAGAAAACCCTCACTCATTGGAGGGGTCATCATTTTGAATCTGATAAACTTATGGTGACGTCAGTTTTATCTAAAAACCTTACGAAAATTTTGTTACATGTATGTACCTGCATTTTGCAACAAAGGACTGCAAATCATCAAAAAGTGACAATGGTTAAAAGTTGCAAGCTCAAAAATTATGCGAGGAGAGCATTACCACACATGCCCGTAATTGGCCACTATCAAATGCACAGTGCCCAAACAAAGCGCGGGTAATTCATGCAAGCAGCATATCATTCCATTTTACTTTTTCATTATCTTTAGCTTGTGTGCACTACTCACAGATTTACCAAATTACAAACCAACTACTGCCGGCAATTTCCAGAAATGTGTCATTTGACACATCTTTGGAATCTGCAATTTTTTTTATTGTCTTTGTCAAAATGGCAGCAGATCATTTTCAGACGGAATTTAGTGCCACTAATATTTTTTAATCAGGTAAGCTTCTCAACAACAAACATTTTATAATTAGCTACATGTTAATAGCTACAAATGACAAACTCTGCCCCAAGGAAATACTTTTTTTAAAAACTCAACCTTGACTGCTCTGTTGGACATGTTCTGAGGCAGAGTGCAGCACTTGACTCCTTGCTGGATCACAGGAGCAGTAGAACGCCCACTTCCAGGTCCCACTGAAGCACATAGCTCTCCTGGTTACCATTACATATCTGCTGCCCTGCACATTTGAACAAGGACAATTTCAGAATGTTGCAGTACAATTTAATCATAATTCAATAAAACAACATTCAACATGTTAATGTTAACAGGAAGAACACTGTAGGGGCCAAATTGTACACTGTAGCACAGTGACATTTCTTATCACGTGAGACAGGGTGAGTTGAATGGCAGGATTTGCTTTTGCAGTGGAAACCAAAACGATCATCCTATGCCATACTTGTTGATGCATTTTGCATATTATAAAAGTACCAGGTACAAGATCTTCATTTCTTTAATTCAAATCATCTACACTTCAAAATACCCTTCATTAAACTTCTCTACCTGTTTTTGTTCTTCAGTGATTAATTGCACATTTGCTTTTTTGCTTACTTCCGATTGTCTTTTCAAAATTTGAGTTTCTGGGCAGATCCATTGGGGTAGGGGGACACGCATGGGGGTGCACAAACCCCACGCCATGGCTTTGTGAGGTGGTGTGTCATAACAAAACTTCACAAACAGGTTTGAAAAGTATCACACACCCCCCTTTTGGACCTGGATCCGCCCCTGCTTGTACTTCCTGAACTGTGGGTAATCAGATCAAAACCAATCAGTTATAATTTTTTTAATTCTTTTTTTTGTCACAATTATCCTATCGCGGTAGAAATTAATCGCGTCAACGCAGCTTGTGAAATATTGTCCAATTACATGATATACAAATGGACGCGGAACGCACAAAAACGTGAAAAAAAAAACTTAGTGTACAAAAACTCCATAGGGTTGTCTAAGGGGCGTGGCTACCTCGCAAACGGTGATAGGTCAATTCAGTCATTTGTGTATTGTTTTTTATTTGATTAAGTTTTACTTAATACAATCAGATCATGGGTAAGTTTCATTAAAAATGTTGTACTGTTATGCCATAATTGATTGAAGTCTGAACGTGCAAGCAAAAATGTTGTATTTTAGTGCATGTTTATAGGCAAAATGCCATAGGCTACGGTCGTGTCTCTGAAATTTTGTTATTTAAATCCTTGTGCTGTACATACAATGTACATGTACTTTCAGAACTGTAAGGTATGTAGAAAGACCACTTGAAGTTGTACTTGTAGTTTGGAGTTCGGAAAAAAATGAGAATTTTGTGCTACAGTAACTTCAATTGGTCTTTCTGTAAGGTTTGTAAAAACCTTACAATTCTGAAAGGACATACATTCTCTATCAACTTACCTCAATTGAGTGGTTTTCAGAATTGTATCTATTCAGTAGAAACTTTGTGAAGTGCTCATCACATGGGGAGATGGAGTTAGTTTCTAACAGCAACTGACGGTAGATTTCAGGTGCCTCAAGTACCTCTACTTCACCATGGCCATATTCTGAAATTTAAAAAGAACAAGTTCCAGTCTAATGGTAGTTAATACAGTCAAATGATGCAATGCTCGGTGCTTGTACGTGTGTGTGTGTGAAGCCTTGTGCATGGTTGTCCATTGCCTAGCATTACTTGTACATGGTTGTGACACTACACGTGTATGAAGCCTTGTGCATGGTTGCTAATTGCCTAGCATTACTTGTACATGGTTGTGACACTACACGTGTATGAAGCCTTGTGCATGGTTGTCCATTGCATTGCAATACTTGTACATGGTTGTGACACTACACGTGTATGAAGCCTTGTGCATGGTTGTCCATTGCCTAGCATTACTTGTACATGGTTGTGACGCTACACGTGTGTGAAGCCTTGTGCATGGTTGTCCATTGCCTAGCATTACTTGTTGTACATGGTTGTGACACTACACGTGTATGAAGCCTTGTGCATGGTTGTCCATTGCCTAGCATTACTTGTCCATGGTTGTGACACTACACGTGTATGAAGCCTTGTGCATGGTTCTCCATTGCCTAGCATTACTTGTACATGGTTGTGACAATACACGCATATGAAGCCTTGTGCATGGTTGTCCATTGCCTAGCATTACTTGTTGTACATGGTTGTGACGCTACACGTGTGTGAAGCCTTGTGCATGGTTGTTAATTGCCTAGCATTACTTGTACATGGTTGTGACACTACACGTGTATGAAGCCTTGTGCATGGTTGTCCATTGCATTGCAATACTTGTACATGGTTGTGACACTACACGTGTATGAAGCCTTGTGCATGGTTGTCCATTGCCTAGCATTACTTGTCCATGGTTGTGACACTACACGTGTGTGAAGCCTTGTGCATGGTTGTCCATTGCTTAGCATTACTTGTACATGGTTGTGACACTACACATGTATGAAGCCTTGTGCATAGTTGTCCTTGCTTAGCATTACTTGTATAATTATGGTTGTGACACTACACATGTACTTCTATGAAGCCTTGTGAATGGTTGTCAATTGCTTAGTCAGCAAAAAATCACAATTTTCTTTGGCGATAGTTCAAGGTGTAGAACATAAGCAGTGTTTAAGCACAAGCATTTGTATTTTTTTTGCAACAACAGATTAAGCTGAAATTCGGATTTACACTGAGATGATATAGTGTTCAACTACTTATGAAATATCCATTGAAAGGGATTCCTAGATATTGAAATGAATGCATTGATTTGGGGATGTTTTCAAAAAATTTCATCCCGACTTTAAGGTCAGCTTTTACCACTAACAACAGTATTGACGTTTCGGCATCAATAATGATGGCAATTTTTTTCACTAACATGAAGTTAAGAATTTTTTTCTTCCATTATCAATATCATTGAACATTTCAATCATACTGAGCATATTTTCTGAGAAACACAATGTACAAAAAGCCATGTTTTTATGGGATGCATGAATTTCACTGCTTTGTACATGTAGTGTCCACAGAGTTCCCTGTAGTGGCCAAGTAGGCAGCAGATTACCTTTGTTTACACTAGCAATAAACTGCATGCATTGTACCATGGAGCTATAAAACACAGCTCCATGATTGTACTAAGGTGTTCCCAAGCACACCACATGATGGATGGGTGGTTAAAACAAAAATCCAAGGCCACAGGATGTTTGGCTGCAGACACATTCCTGCAAACCATGCATGCACAGGGGATTAGGAATAAACAGAGGGGTGATATCAGATAAACTACTCCTGTGCAAGAGGTAATGAATAATAATGATGTAGTGCAAGTGGGCTAGAGGTAATTGCTTTAGCAGAGGACTGGAATGTGGACAGCCCCCCTGAGGGACAAAAGAACAGAAACTCCCACAGTGGTCTTCCAAAAACACAAAAATAAAATGGCAGGATGTACATAAAACAAAGAAAGAACAAGGACGATAAAATCTCCAAAAATCCCATGTTAGTTTTTAAGATTGTCTTTAAAGTTAATAAATTGTCATCATTATCTCCACTCACATGTACCCTACTTTAAGTGTGTTAGAAAATAATTATATATATTTTGCTGCATTTTAAATGTGGATTTGTTCACTTCAAAATATAATTGTAAAATCATGCCGAAACAAATTAATCTGGAACTTTGTAGCGGGTACATAAACTCAAGTTTTATAGATGTAGATAGCGTGATAAAATTTCACTTAGTAGTTATATAGTGTGAAATTTGGGCAAAGAGCTTTGAGGTATGGTAAAAATATTACTCTAGCAAGGCACTAGAGAAGAGACAAAAAAAATCAAAGTGTGCCATGTAGGCATGCAGTGCCAAGTTAGAGTACACTACAACAACATTCCAAAGGCTCCATTGTCATAATTTACTTGGTTGTATGGAGGTAGAATTAGATACATGGTTCATGGTTGCAACACTAGCTAGCTACTAGCTAGCAACAAGTTGTAGTGGTTTAGCTCTATGGTGTACAGTATGTGTGTATGATAATGCATGGTTATCCATTGCATTAGGTTTTTGCACATGCGCCAGTTTTTCCAGGCTGTGCCGTAAAATTAATATCCATGAGCTCGTAATTCATAGAAATAAAACACTGAGAATGGCCTTCCAAAAAACTGCTCATGATGCGCGGAATATTTATTGAAGCCATAAGAAACGTCCCAAGTAGATTCAAAAATAAATATATTTAGCATCAACATCGAAAATTTCAAATGCAGAGATGCCAACTTTACAGACAACAAAATAGTAATGATTCTTCCTGCAAAGAGTAATGCTAATGTACATAGGACAACAGTCAAGTTTAAGAGTAACCACAGTACTTTTCAGAGTAACCACAATGTTGGCGTATAGGACAGTAACATGCCCAAGAGCAAACCCCTAAATTCACCTACAAATGGGGGATTCCATGGTGGTGGGATTTCTGAAAGTGAAACCGGAGTGTGGTTTTAGCACTCAACTGCAAAATTTAACGCAGTTCTCGGAGTTCGCAATTCAAACGACGCCGCCAATGCCCGATTGACTTAAAGGAATATACATCATTTGCTTTTGCTGTAATCATCAGAAATGGATGGAATTGGGGGGTTGGAAATATATAGCAAAAATACACACACTGACTTTTTTAAGGTTTTGGGTTCGAAAATGCTATAAAAACCAAGAAAAACAATCATTTACCTGTAGTCTGGTTCACTGACTCCATATAAGAAGAAACAGAGCAGTTTACATACTTTGGGGAATTGTAAAGTCAGGGAACCAGTCTAGCTGGCTCATACCCGTTCATAGGATTGTAATCGCTTGCAAACAAGTGCGATGGTCAATTGGGGCCAGTATTTGAAAAAAGCCAGTTTTTTCCAACGCTGATCGGCCGATCACCGTTGGAAATTGATACAAAAATACCACTTTTCTTGAAAATGACAGTATACCAGGTGCCATGATTTTACAGGATGCTTTACACTGTCATTCACTAACAGTCCAGCAAGGTATTTCAAAATGATTTGGGTAGTTTTATTTTTGGATGTTTGCAAATGTTGTATTTTCCCTTTAAGTGCCCCGCATGTATACATTTCACAGGAACAGCCAGGGATAGGCCTATTACGCGTAGCGCCTGCTAGATGGATTTGTGCACATATATGTACCGCGCCGTTTGTTTACATTCAGTGTATCGTATGTATTTTCTAGCTATGTACGTGGTTCCATCAGGGTTTGCTCTCAAAAGTCTTCCATAGTGGTATTCTCCTTTTACTAGTCTTTCCAATGATACTTTATTTGATTTCGAATTTACTTACCCTGACCACGAAAAATCCCACAAAACGTGAATGTTATTTTCGTTCCGATTGAGACATTTAAAAAGGTCCCAACCATGAATCAAACTTAAATTTTCGAAGGTATTTTCTAATAAAATGTCTTGCCAAAAATTAATAGTCTTTTTCTGTCCACTGAGTGTTATCAAAAAAGTATTTGTAATAAAAAAAAGCGAATTGAAAAGATGTCCTCTGGTGACCTTTTTTACGCAAAAGGGGACTGGACACAATTCAGTCACAAGAGGGTGTTCTATACAAGCTGAAGCACAGACACGCGCATAAGCCTAACGTCGCCCCCCCTCCCCCTGAAAACAGCGGTGAAGTGTATGAAGCCTTGTGCATGGTTGTCCATTTGTACTTGTACAGATATTGTACATGGTTGTTTTACTACACAAAAATGAATCCTTGTGGTTGTGAATTGCCTAGCATTACTTGTACATGGTTGTGACACTACACGTGTATGAAGCCTTGTGCATGGTTCTCCATTGCCTAGCATTACTTGTACATGGTTGTGACAATACACGCATATGAAGCCTTGTGCATGGTTGTCCATTGCCTAGCATTACTTGTTGTACATGGTTGTGACGCTACACGTGTGTGAAGCCTTGTGCATGGTTGTCCATTGCCTAGCATTACTTGTTGTACATGGTTGTGACGCTACACGTGTGTGAAGCCTTGTGCATGGTTGTCCATTGCATTGCATTACTTGTACATGGTTGTGACACTACACGTGTATGAAGCCTTGTGCATGGTTGTCCATTGCCTAGCATTACTTGTACATGGTTGTGACACTACACGTGTATGAAGCCTTGTGCATGGTTGTCCATTGCCTAGCATTACTTGTACATGGTTGTGACACTACACGTGTATGAAGCCTTGTGCATGGTTGTCCATTGCCTAGCATTACTTGTTGTACATGGTTGTGACGCTACACGTGTGTGAAGCCTTGTGCATGGTTGTCCATTGCATTGCATTACTTGTACATGGTTGTGACACTACACGTGTATGAAGCCTTGTGCATGGTTGTCCATTGCCTAGCATTACTTGTACATGGTTGTGACACTACACGTGTATGAAACCTTGTGCATGGTTGTCCATTGCCTAGCATTACTTGTACATGGTTGTGACACTACACGTGTATGAAGCCTTGTGCATGGTTGTCAATTGCCTAGCATTACTTGTACATGGTTGTGACACTACACGTGTATGAAGCCTTGTGCATGGTTGTCCACTGCCTAGCATTACTTGTACATGGTTGTGACACTACACGTGTATGAAGCCTTGTGCATGGTTCTCCATTGCCTAGCATTACTTGTACATGGTTGTGACAATACACGCATATGAAGCCTTGTGCATGGTTGTCCATTGCCTAGCATTACTTGTACATGGTTGTGACGCTACACATGTATGAAGCCTTGTGCATGGTTGTCCATTGCCTAGCATTACTTGTTGTACATGGTTGTGACGCTACACGTGTGTGAAGCCTTGTGCATGGTTGTCCATTGCATTGCATTACTTGTACATGGTTGTGACACTACACGTGTGTGAAGCCTTGTGCATGGTTGTCCATTGCCTAGCATTACTTGTACATGGTTGTGACGCTACACATGTATGAAGCCTTGTGCATGGTTGTCCATTGCCTAGCATTACTTGTTGTACATGGTTGTGACGCTACACGTGTATGAAGCCTTGTGCATGGTTGTCCATTGCCTAGCATTACTTGTACATGGTTGAGACACTACACACGTGTGAAGCCTTGTGCATGGTTGTCCATTGCCTAGCATTACTTGTACATGGTTGTGACGCTACACGTGTATGAAGCCTTGTGCATGGTTGTCCATTGCCTAGCATTACTTGTACATGGTTGTGACACTACACGTGTATGAAGCCTTGTGCATGGTTGTCCATTGCCTAGCATTACTTGTACATGGTTGTGACACTACACATACCTGTACATGTACAATTGTATATCTGTATGAAGCCTTGTGCATGGTTGTCCATTGCCTTGCAATACTTGTACATGGTTGTGACACTACACGCATATGAAGCCTTGTGCATGGTTGTCCATTGCCTAGCATTACTTGTACATGGTTGTGACACTACACGTGTATGAAGCCTTGTGCATGGTTGTCCATTGCCTAGCATTACTTGTACATGGTTGTGACACTACACGCATATGAAGCCTTGTGCATGGTTGTCCATTGCCTAGCATTACTTGTACATGGTTGTGACACTACACGTGTATGAAGCCTTGTGCATGGTTGCTAATTGCCTAGCATTACTTGTACATGGTTGTGACACTACACGTACCTGTACATGTACAATTGTATATCTGTATGAAGCCTTGTGCATGGTTGTCCATTGCCTTGTATTCATTGTACATGGTTTATTGCAACAGTCATGACAGTACACGACAGTACACGTGTGAAGCCTTGTGCATGTTTAAACTGCTTAGCAATAGCATGCATTACTCATTAGCTGATTAGGGGCTAGTTAAACGCATGCCAAACAACTACAGCTCCATGGTATTACAGCTATAGGTAGGGCTATTTATTAGTGTTTCATACTCACGACAACGAATTTCTTCCGAGCCGTCATGAAGCGGTACATCGTTGCCATCACCTTGATCGGTAGCTGCGTTCGTAGGCCTAGGCCTACTGGCAGTACTGCTGCTGCCGGTCATGCCGGTGTTGCTGCTACTAGTGCTAGTGCCGCTAGTTCTACTTGTGTATCTGTCGCTGCGCGACCGCTTTAACCTAGGTAATTTGCTGACATCAACTGGGGTCGACAATTCGTCCAAATATCGCGATCGTAAATTGTAGTCATGCCACTTTTCACGATATCTTTCGCGGTTCAAGGCATTGTTGACATCCTTCTCACTAGGCTCCGCCATCTTTCGCTGGCCAGACGCGCGGGCGGACTCCACTGGCTAGCTACACGTACGTGGGTACGGGTACGGTACCGATCTTGTACTGTATAAACGTACAGTCGTCATGTACCGCCGTTTGTTTATGTACATTAGGCTATGCTGTAGGTGACCAGATGAAAATCGCGAAATTCTGCCAGATGCATTTCAAAATTCTGCTAGATTAAACAAAATCTAAGAAATCAACCTGAATTACAATACACAAAACACAGTATAAACAATATGCTCACAATCTGATAAATACATGTTTTGACATATCCTTTGGAAAAACACGTTAAATTTCCTTAAAGATGCAATTTTGCTTCCATTTCTAGCCTGCAGTAATTGTACATTCTTCATCAACCGCTTAATATTGGAGCATATTGCTTAAATTAAGTAATGAACCCTTTAAAAAAAATCTGCTGATTGCTTTTTTTGGCTACAATTTTAAAGACTACTAAAGAAATCTGCAGAACTTTGCATTCTTTAACTGTTTTTTTTAATATTTGATCGGTTTTCCACCAAAATATATGTCAAATCTAGCCGAAAATCGGCTAAAACGGTCAATATTTATTGCAATGGACTGTAAGCTCCGCCTACATCTAGATGAGGACCGCCCATAGAGCTGTATACAGCCCTATGGGACCGCCCAATTTTAGCATATCCGCATGACTGTGGTGCAAAACGGCACGAATGAGAGACTATAACCCATCCGCTGGTTCCAACAACATGTATTCGTAAATAAACACCACGGGTAATAGGGAACCAGTGGCAAATATCATTGAACGTGCATGGTTGTGTTCGGTGGTTGAGTGTCATACGTCTGTTTGCTTATATATCTCTGAAATACACGCCATTTTGAATGAATGGTCCGACAACGCATGCGTCGTAGGAATGCTGTGTGTAGAATGGTCAACAGAGGTCGCCCTAATACCACACCGCTGTTGATTATTGCATTGGGGAAGGGGGGCGGAGAGGACGGGCCGTGGGGGGGGGGGGAAGAAAAATCGGTGTTCCTGTGTTGACGGGAACGGAGTGACCTATCTCTCTTTTCGAAGCGATTGAGCCAGACTCGAGTCCATGAAATTCTGCTGTGGGGGAATCGCCACACCTCCTCCACAGCGAGTACCTTCCACTTGAAGCATTTAATTTTAGCACCTGGGTTGTGGGTTGGGGGCCTTAAAAATAATTGTGCCTTTATGTGGGGGGAAAAGAGTGGTACACGCAGTGGGATTAATACTAAAACAAAAACAAAACTCTCGAAGAAGAAGAGACACACTGGTGATAGAAGAGTGGAAGAGTTTGTCCAGCAGTGGGGCCATACAGGACGTTGCATGATGATGATGATGATGATGATGATGCATGACGAGAACGACAAATAAAAGCAGGAAAAAACATTTTATTTCTACACATTTCGTGATTAAAAAAGTTTCCTAAGTATGTTCCTCATTCTCATGCGGGGTGTATTTAAGTCTTAGAAAGTTTGGTTTAAAAATTCAGGACATAGGAAGTACCATGCACGGACCTTGGGTTCGGATTATTAAAATGGAATCCCTACATTGACTGAGTTTAACAACAACAAAAATTTCCACCAGAGTGTTTTCAAGGATCGGGTGTAATGCGACCAGCCTAGTTCTCTTCAAGCTCACTGAACTGCTTCAAAAATAGCTGTGATAAGACAGATATTAGCAGTCAAAGAATGGAGAGATTATAGCGGGTACCTGCAAGATTACCTGAAGATGATTCCCCGGATTAAGTCTTCTTTTGAGTCCTTTCGAGGGCCGGATTAAAGGCAGATATTTCTTTGACATAAATACTTTCGGTTCCTCGAGCAAATTTGACGGGTTTCGGATTAGTCCTCCGTCTTTTTCAGATTCTGCTTCGAGAGATCTTGAGATGGTACTAGAGATTTAAGTCAAAGTAATCAGACTCAATGGTTTCTTTGCCCAGACCGCACCCGAAAGAGCTCTCCCAGAAGCCCCTTATAGAACTGTAAAATCTAGCCGGCCGATGCTTCAAAACCAGTGCCTGGCACTCGCTTTAGACCTCCATCGTGTTTCCTAAGCTTAAGAGTCGTCGATGTATTCTGATTATCTTGGTCGAACTGGGTTATAACGGTTATATAACCGAAAACTTTTCGTTCTAACAAAAATATCTTATCGTTATAAACAAAGCCATTTTGTTATACCGAAAACAAGTTCGTTATAAAGACTTTTCTTTACAACAAAAACATTATTTTCGTAATAATTTTTCGTTATAATGCAAAAAAAAAACCCAAAACCGTTTTGTTATAACGAGCAAAAACTATTTGTCATAAAGATAATTTCGAAACACAATTGCGGCCATCTTTTTTTTTCTAATTTCGCTGCATTACGCTTCCATACGTTACGAACAAGACAACCTCTTTTTGACGACCATGACCGATTTTCGCTTTGACCAGTCTTGGGACGGCCAGCGCGCTTCGCCATCCTCACACCAAGTCCTGGTATTGAGAACATAAAAAGGTCACTGTTTCCTTCGAGAGTTGTAAAAAAAAAAAGAAAGTCGATTGTGATTGTTCACAATTGTTTTTTAATTTAACTCTTTTGTTGCTATTTGACACACTTTAATAATAATTCTTTCAGACAACGACAAGGTGTTTTTGTCAAAATTCATTATGGATGTAGCACAATGGTACGAGGCTACGACCTCGCAGCGAGTACCGTCCGTCGATAATTGGCCGGCAATCGCGTTCCATGTACCCATGATCTCTTCGCCACAAAAGCGCCCAAATTTTTGCCTCCGGCGGACTGGATTTCATCCACCAATCTCCCCTCCTGACGAATCTCATCATTTGCCTTTTGTCCTAGGTTACGTAAGTGACCTTAGCAAACCGTTACACACCACGCTCCGTTGAAGCTATTGTTGTACGAGTAGTCCAGCGGTGTTCGGCCTTTCATGAGCGGGTGATCAGCGCTGCTAGTCCCGGTGAACAATCCAGAGCACTCCGATGGTGTTTATCTTCCGCTGTAAAGGACATTACGAGCTCATTCAGATGTTATTTGGGTGACAGAAGGGCGGATGTTGGAATTGAGAGTCATTCTACGAGAGTAAAATGAATCACACGCCTTGTTTGAAATCAATCGGGGAACATGTTTCGTGAGTGGCCACAAATTGAAAATTGAGCGACGTCAGTGCTGTGGAATTTTCCGCAGAGTTGGATGCTTGACGATGTAAAAACTATTCTAGAATCATCAACGATTAAAACTCTTTGTCAACGCGGAAGGTAATTAGACAGTATCTTTTCTTTGTTTGTAAAGGCAAATTGGAAATTCATAAACTATTATAGGAAAGAATTGTAACACCCTATACTTATCACAAATTACCTTTTTTAATGGCAAAAATCTAGATTTTGTAAAGTATCTTGTCACAAAAATCAATATGCATACATCACTGATGTCTTATCAACAATTATCTTTCTCTGCTAATAGACGAGACTAACAGGTAATCCACTCTGTTGTCAAGGAAACGAAGACAAAAGAAGCTTACTAGAATCTTCGTTGAAGATGACACCTGCCAATTAACCCTCATCCAGGAGATTTGACGAGCAAGTTGAATGATATTTGCTGGACTGAAAGCTGAAGACGGAAGTAGTTGCTCTCCAAACAATGTAAGTGCGGTTAGACGACATCCGACATCACAAGAGGTGTCTTCATGCCTGCGATAAACATCAACGCCTCAACTTCGCATCATAGAGCAACGTTCCTTGCTCTATGTTCACACTGACTGCTGAGGTATCAAGAGTGGTTGACCGACACATCTAACGCCTGGGGAACCATAACTTGAATGATTTTCCGATTTGGATGAAGTTGATACACGCTTGACGACAGATCGCAAGTGAATTTAAACAGCGGGAATATCGAAATGAAAATGACGCCAAAAGAGGTGAGATATTTCTGAGGTTGTGTACCGACTTCGAACAAAGGAAAATGCTTACTGGAAAATGCGGTTTAATCAAAATTCTATACCACTCATAAAAACTATAATCACTGTGTAACCAATGGACTGGAAAATATACTGTTGTAAAAAAAATGCTATATATCAAATCGTCATTGTGATGTGAAGATTTTGCAGGGTAGAATATATAGATTAAAACTTAGTCATCCTGTCTCAAGTTAGTGACTAGGCGATTCCTAAGAAAACACCTTCCACTTCGTTGTTTGTAAATTGACTTGCAATTCAATCGATTACCACTGTGACACGTGCATACTTTCAAATAATAGGAAAAAAACCTTGAAAGTCTTCAAAATTCTACGAAATTGCGAATCGATTTTGGTATCGCCATTTCTGCTCTCCGAATCAATCGATATAAAAAAGGGAAAGCGCGTGGCTTCTGAAAAGAAAATGGCCGACGTTCCTACAATTGAGCTTCATTAGTCCCAAAGTCATTCATTAAGAGCTATACAATACTACCCTGCTTGGACAAAAGCCAAACCATCAAGACGTCGTGTTCCTTTGTTTGTTGCTTATTTTGTTCCAATTGACTCTTTATCTTATTCATGTGATTTTCTTCTGTATTTCATCCTTCGCAGGCGAGATGGAAGTTCATCCGGGCAGTGCGCATGATCATCATGCAAATTACCCTGAACAAGTGAGTCCAACATCGCTATGTGACGAAAATCAAATTAAATATTATATGCGACTGTTTGCATTCTAATTCCCGTATCAAAGTCAACATTCTCGTTACCACAAACTGGGTCGACCCATCGTGAATTCGGATCATGATGACCGTACTTTAAAAACAATAATTTGAAGAAAAAAATATGTGACCCGCCACCAAATCCATTTGTAAGGTTTACAAGTTGTGTTTTAGTACTTCGAAACTGATCCCAAGTTCAACTTCGAGCTCAGAAACCCTAGGTATAGTCATGGACAATAGAGCAATGCCTGTGTGCTTAATTTCACAGATAATAAAGTGTTTTATGCCTACGAGCATTTCGTCCGACCTGAGCCATAATTGGTGGCTCGCATTATGGCACCATATAGATGCATGCCTCTTGACTTTTCCTTTTTGACTACGACAGTCAAACCACACCTGTACCTTAGTAACCATGTTTTGCAACCGACTTTGAACAAAATATAGTCCTTGCATTGCGTGTGAAGCTCCGAAGCCCAACTATAGTGGATGAGGTAAATACACAATGGCTCATCATTTTGAAGGCTTCTCCTAAATCCACACTCATTTTAAAGCCGATGACCTACCAAGGTCCTCCTACAAATACGAGGATAACCTGCTGCCTGATTGTCCAATGTAGATGATTCAGGAGTTTAGATTAAAAAAATACTTGTTCTAAAGCTCGAAAGTTAAGTGTTGAAGCGCGAAATTCCACGCATGCACAAGCGTTCGGGTGTATTTTCTTTCCATTTACATGTACTGCACTTGTAAGATCAACCATTTTTTCTCGTAAATTTGTTAGAGAGTTTGAGCAAACAAAATTACTTAAAATCGGCTCATGATGACCTCGATACGTTTATTCATTTGCTGAAGGTTTACCCTACGGAATCCTGCAAGTTTTCCTATAATTCTAAAGCATCTCCTCTTTTCCCTTGGACATGTTAGGCAGTGTGATGTGATGTTTTTCCCGTCACTCGTTTGTTGCTTGCTCTGCTTCCAGCTATCCCTCGTTACATTTCTCAGCCAACATTGAAAAGTATTGTCCTCACTTCCTGTTTACTTCCACTGGCGTATCGGAATTGTCAAAGACCTTCTAATGAACGGTCCCAATTGTAAGTTTGTCACTTCCATGTTTGCTCACTCAAATTGAACCTCGGACCTCAGAGGAATGAAAGCCAGTTTTGTTGTTGACTTGGGCGTCCATTCTTTCTTGCTTGAAGTCAAACATCGTTCAAATTGCAGCTACTACTGCCGTACGCGTACGAAATTATGTTTGTCGTTAATGCTATGGATACTTTGAAGCATTAATAAAGTCTCTTAAAAAAAATCCGTTACTTTTCTTTTTTTGAGATTGACGACTTTTGAAACATCGGCAAACAATCCCACGCATTTTTCAGTTCCGAAATCAGCCAAAGGGGCGACGAATGGGACGCTAAAATATTGGAAAAGTAAATTTCTGCTACTTGTTTGAGTCTATAGTAGCTTACAGCATTGCGAAATCACTAGATAACTTCACACCTTACTAATTGTTACAAAAAACATCAGCATTCAATTCACCAACAATTAAGCTTTAGGCCTAAAAAAAAAATGTTGAGTTGTATTCCTTAATTTTGTTTCATTTCAGGGGGACAGCCGAAGTGGAGGAAGAGGACCAAGTCCTGTCCTTCAATTCGCACATTGAGGGCGTGGATGGGGTGACCATGGAACAACTGACATTCGATAAGAAATACTTCCGCGCTAAACGAGAGGTAAAGAAACTAGATCCAAGATGTTGTTTTGCCCGGAAGAAGTGGAGCTTCGAGGCACGGAGGCTGCAGTAACAAAATATTTCTTAGTAAATTTAATATCGTCTTCGTTGTTGCATTTATTCTTTTGGCGGTTGACATTGACTGGAATTCATTTTGTACTGTTTTGTCTAGACGCGCATCACCCAAGACGTGAAGAACGTACTGAGCGTGGAGCAAGAAGACCGTACGCATGCGCAGCTCCAACTGGTAAGAACGTTGTAACGGAAACATTGACCCTAACTACATGCAAAGGAAGTAACTGTCTACATTGCCTAATATAATACAAGAACATTCACAAGGGCAGTGTCTTAGCTTTGTCCATATAATAGACACTAGGTGTTGTTACATCTTTTTGCACTCTTTTTCTCATTTTGAGTACTTTGTTTTTTGTCTGCTTAGGCTCTCCATGGTCTTCAATCCATCTCATCCTTTGCTGAATATCCTCTTCACATTCAAGAGAAGTTGGTACGAGTGGCGTTCTTCTATAAGTAAGTTACAGCTTCACCAAGATATTAACAGCCGTAGCAACGTACTAAAGTCACAAACATCTCAGAGGCTTACTGTGCCTGTTGTAGGTTGCTCAGGGGCAACAGCTACATGAAGTATACTGTAAGTTAAAGCTTTAGCAAAGACAATCATAAACACACACATTTAAGAAGACTTGGAGGTCTCAAGCTCCTAGTTTCTTTGCGTGAATATACTTTCATGCCATCTTTTCTCGCTTTGTTTGGCAGCATCCCAGCCAAGAGGGTAATCATCCGAGAGGGTCACAATGCCGAGATATTTTACTTCCTCATCACCGGGTCTGGTAAGATGGTCTTCAATTTGTTTCCCCGACAAGTGGGAAACTTATTCAATATTTCAATTATTTCGTTGTCAAAATGCAACCACCAAAATTTGTATTAGGTACCAAAAGTACCAACTGAACAACGACGATGTTGGCTTACAGTTGACTTGATGATGTTGGTTGTGTAATGCACTGATATGTTAGTTCCAGTCGTCTCAATGTGAAATGTTTTTTACAGATAATTTTTCAAAACTTCTTTGCCAAACTTTAAAAGTTTGTCATGATTGCATGCATGTGTAGCTGCAGTGACCTGTGCAGATGTGGATCGAGTGACCAAGGAACCCGCAGCCAAAGTGACACAAGTCCTACGTAAGGGAGAATGCTTCGGAGAACGGGAGCTACTTCATAACATCAAACGAACGCATACCATCACGGCTGAGGTGCCGTGCGAACTGATTGCAATTGAAATGGAGGTACATTCATTTATGCATGTGCCTTAACATATGTTGGTTACATAAGCCCACACGAACTTAATTCAGGGGTGTGAGTGACCACTGATAAAAATAGCTGAAAACAGCTGAAAAAGGTGTAAAAAAGCTGAACTTGTGGAAATCTCCTATACTTTTGTACACAGCAAGTGAGGGAAAAAAGCTGAAATCCAAAACAAAAAAAGCTGAAATCAGCTATAAAGCTGAGATTTCACACCCCTGTTAATTGCAAGGATCTTAGGACCACGTTATACCACAAGTTGTAGCGATGTCATGTGTTATATATTCTGATGTTGCAGCATAAGTTAAAGTGACAGAGCATTTCAACACCATGTTGTTAACAGGTCAAGTTTAACTGTGATGTTTTGTGATGCCAGAGAGTGAAGTGGTAAAATAACCGACAGAGAAATGGTTCGTTGCTATAAAACAGTGTCAATTATTACTTACTCATGAGCGTTTTATTGTTGTCTTATTGTTGCTGCAGGATTTCTTTGACATGTTCATGGGTGAGGGTGACCACGGAAAGGAAATGGAACATCTCAAGTTTTTAAGGTAGGCTCATTGCAGTTCACTTCGAATATTCCCCCCCCCCAAAAAAAAGGACCATGTATGGAGCTATAGTTTTGCACAACTTTCTTGAAGTTCAAAACTTGAATTTAACGTTACTCTTTACTTGGCTGACATGATATAATGGGCCTTGTAAAATTGTAATGTTGTTTCTCGGTGTTTTTTTTTCAGGATTCTACCTTTCCTGAAGGGTTGGCCAGTCCGTAAACTAAATGACCATCCACAGATGGGACTCTTCCATTATTTCAAGTAGGTAACAATGCAAATTAAGTGCAATCATGTCCCTCACGAGTCATTACTAGCCACTTTGATCTCCTTTGATTTTTTTTCTGGCAGACGAGGGACCGTTATTACTAAAGACAGCAACCAATCAGACTGGCTGTACATTGTAAAGTCGGTAAGTAAATTTGCAGATTCCAATTACAGAGCCGACCATTTTTTTAACTAAGAAAAAGAAAAGAAAAAATATATAAAAATGTAAGCAATGTTATGAAATGTATTCATCAAAATTGGTAATACACTACACACTTCAGGTGACTTTTCATTGCCTATTTATATAATTTTAATATTTATGGTGTATTTGAATATTTTGTTGACTTACACCCCAGGGTTCCTGTCAAGTGATTAAGGAGTTATCTGAAGCCAGGCCCGGCCAGCAGCGACGGAGTAGCACAAGCCTGGACCCCAATATGAACGAGAAATTTGCCCCCAATGGTCTCAATGTCGGTAAGTCAACGGAGGCTAACCAGTAATACTTGCAACATATCTCAAAAGGGTGAAACAATGACTTTCTCATACGTGAGATGTGGGGTTCTAAGAAAATCCAGAAGTTGTGACTTGGTGTTTCGGTCCGTATGCTTTGAAATTTATGTTACAGCGATATTGGAAGAGGATGTACTTTGTTTCTGTAGTTTTGAAACTTGAAAAGCTGAAGATCCTTGCTTGTTGTTGTATTATTGTTTCTAGTTTATATTTTTCAGCAAGCACAGCTGACTTGGTCCATTGGCACTTGTTGTTTACAGGTCCCAAGATTGATAATCGAAGACGGCGATCGTCAGTCAGAGAGCAGGATCTGAACAGCCTGAGAGTTCCATCATCACTGGATGATACGAGGGTGAGTCAAGTTTGACCACAAATTTTGAATAAACTTTAAAGTGGGACTTGTCACAGGTGGTTTCCTGGTCATGCTCAAGTACCCCCTCAACGGTGAGAAAGAGATATGAAGGACACTTAGCAATGTTTCTGCCATTTGCCAACACTCAAAGTGTATTTCCCCGTGAAGATACCATGGGCTGTTTTTTTTTTAATAACATGTTTTTTTTTTCAGTAATGAATTTTGCTATTTTTTGTTTTGCAGTCCCAAGATGGTGACAAGAAGGTAGTGTTTGTCCAACTAGACATGCTGCTACCAAAAGATGTATTTGTAAGTGTATGATTTTCATTTTTTTTTTTCCTTCCAAAATTTATTTCAGCACTTCTGGGGGAAATTTACCAAAAAATAACAAGTGGAGTGGATATATTGGCTGATTGGGAAAATTAAATTAAATTTCTAAAATCTGTCTCACCAATGGCCACAAGATACATAGTTATGTTCCTCACAATTGATGGAGTCACTAAGCAGAAATCCTTGCTGAGCAGAACTGTCACTAAGCAGAAATCCTTGCTGAGCAGAACTCACAGTCACAAATGTTATTCATCACATGAAGTTACCGCTGCATAGCATATCGTTGATGTCTCTATACAGGCCAATTCGTGAAATGCATTAAAGTTACATACTGATTCTGCTGACATTTCAGCCTAGTTCATTCTATGGGCTTGCTTTCGTCAAGTGAATCGGAAATCTTAGTAAACCTCTTTCATCTGTACATCCCTAGGGTCTGCCATTCTTATGCTGTGATGCTGGCATCATCGACGCTAGGCAACCCAGCCTAAGTCTTGTCAGCCGCGGGGCAGAAGTCATCATGTTGAATAAGAGATTCTTCCTTGAACACGCCTCCCAGTATGTTACCCGTCATCTGAAGGAAATTGTCCGTCCGTACCCGCTGCAAGAAACGCTGCAGAAACACCTGCAGGCTCATACAGACTGGCAACACTACAAGCAACAGACACTGTCGACGGTGGTGACCGGAACCAGACGCAAGTCTGTCAGCCAACCTCCTTAAGGCAACAGGAAATGGATTGAGAGAAATGGGACCAGACTAGTCCGTCACCTTGGCTCATTAACCAAGGTCGTACTGGGTTTTGATTTGTTTCAGAAGCAAATCCGGCACCAGACTCCTAAAAAACGACCGAGCGAAGTGACATTGTTGACCTACCACTTTGAACCATAGAGCAAAGGACCCTATGTTTGAACAAAGCTGGAAATTATCCAATATTTTGTATCTGGAACTGGACCATTGTCTTTAATTCAATGGTGACCGGAACCATCATGAGTCTGTTATCCGACCTCAATTTCAGTAAAAAACTTCATGGTTTGTAGAGATGGAAACCAGACTAAGTCTGTTTCCTGCTCAGGAGACAATCTGTTGAACTTGAACTACAATGTTTTCAGTTTGAAAGATTCCTGTAGTTTTTCTTTATTGCTTACTTTTGAACTTAAGAAATTTATATCTACAAAAAATACATAAGCAATGTCCATAAAAGTTTTTCTGTATTTTTAGTTTTCATTTCAGTGAAAAATCATACTTCCTGCACTGGTTTTTCTTCATGATGCTTAGTAAGTGATTTTCTGAGTAGTTTTTATTTGATATACATGTATTTGCCAGTTTTAAAGTTACCAAAATTAAAGTGACTGTGTGTATGTTATTTCTTACAATGAGGAAAGTGAAATGTCACCGTGACAGCAATTTCACAGGAAATTATAAAATAATGCATCAAATCATGTAGAAAAACCAGCGAAAATAAGGTTTAGTGGACATTGTAATATACCAATAAGTTACTTTATTACAAATTATATGAACTTATATTTACAACCCTGCAATCACAAGAATATATACATATCACTGGCTGTGAATATTTCTTCTTGAAGAGGCAATGTCTGATTTCTTAAGAATGTGTTATAGAACAGCCTTGCACTGCTCATGACCAAATGATGACCAAATAAAAAAAGAGTTGCAGTGAAATCTCGACAAGTCAAAACCTGCTAACTCGAAAATCCTTCTAGCTCAAAGTAAGAACTTATTCCCATCTATTGTTGAAAAGAAAATCCATTTGCTAACTCAAAACTCTGCTTAACTCAAAATTTGAGCCCAATCCCCTGAGTTTTGACTTATCGAGATTTCACTGTATACATTGTTGGCAGTTTGAACACAAGGTGAAAGAAAACAATTGCTTCTATCTTGTACAGAAAAAATGAACATTTTTTTAAAAATGAATCTCTCCAAAAGAAGCCATTGCTAAAATGAAGTAGTGAAACTCAGTTTGATCAGTTGCTAAGTCACCTACAAACTTAAATTTGAAATTAACACCAAAACAACTGAAGTACCAGTAATTTGAACCAAACCATCTTTTCATTAAATATCTGTGTTTCAGAATTTGTTTTGTGCATTTCGTGGCAGAAAATTGCTGATTTATGCGTAGGCAGACATTAGATGAAAATATGCTCTGTACAAAAATCATCTCAAAATTATTCTACTTCGAAATTTTATATTACAAATAAATATGTACATAAATACAGCCTGTATTTCTTTCCATTTCTGAACTGTAAATAACTGTGAACGGCTTAGCACAATCTGAGCATGCCTTAAGTATGAATTTAACCAAACAACTTTTTTCTGATACAAAATAAAAATAAACTGAAAACGAAATCTTGTTTCAGTTTGTGTAATTTTAAATGGCAATTAAATTTCAGATGTTCAGTATTGTGTCAGTAAACAAAAAATGGGCTGCACATACTCATGCTGTTTCATTTAAAACAAAAATTAAATGTTTGGTACACGTATGCAACTTGCCTTCAGCCACATAAATGATGACATCAAACATCTGTTGGACTTGAGGAATCACAAGAATAGAAACCAGTTTAAAAGTAAATAAACACAGAACAAAACAATTAAAACAATTGAGGACTAAATCTTACTTTCATAAATCTTCCTCCCTCATGATTGGCTGGCTGGGGGGTCTAGCTGGCTCCTCAGCAGGCTCTTCCATTCCCAGAGGGGTGGTACACAGCATGTTGACACTGATGCGCAATGGGAACTGCACGTGTTTGTCATTGGTGAGTACCACTGCCTCCTGGCAACAAAACATTCGTTTACGTTATAAAAATCACATGTCAATCAAAAGTCAAATCACGGGTCAACTCACAAGCAAATCACAAGTCATATCACAAGTCAGTAATAAGTCAAATCTAAAGTATTTCACAAGTCAACAGCAAGTTAATCACTCGTCCATCACATGTCAGATCACAAGTCAAATCACAAGTCAGATCACAAGTCAAATCACAAGTCAAATTACAAGTCAAATCACAAGTCAATCACAAGTCAAATCACAAGTCAGTCACAAGTCAAATCACAAGTCAATCACAAGTCAATTATAAGTCAATCAAATGTAAAGCACAATTCAAGTACAATTCCATCATGAGTCAATCACTTGTCAATTAGAAGTCAATCAGTTGTCAATCACAAGACAGTCATAAGTCCATCACAAGTCAATGACAGGTCAATCATAAGTCAATCAGTCGTCAATCACAAGACAGTCATAAGTCCATCACAAGTCAATGACAGGTCAATCACAGGTCAGGTTGCACTGGATAAACAGAAACAAAAGACGCTCTTTAGTCAGATTCATTTGAATAGTTTATCACCTGACTAAAGACTTGTGATTGACTTGTGTCTGTCAATGACTTATTCACGAGGGCTTGATTACAACTCTTGCAGAGTATCAGATTCACTTGATACGTACCTCGTCTTTGCTGAGACTCAGTACCTTTAGATCGCCTTTCTTCTGGTAAAGGACATGGCCCTGGCTGTCATAGGATATCACACGGACCCTGGGGCAAGAATATTCATTACTTGACTTTCTTACGTTCACTTCAAATGCTGGCATGCTTGACATGTACTTAACTGACTGAAATATGTCAGTTCAGACAAGTGTTTTTGTAAAAGAATAACTACTTTATTTGTGTAATTATAAAAGCTCTTAGAGACTCTAAAATCCATGCGGTGGTTTTTGGAGCGAGGCAGATGTCTCACCTGAACATAATATTGCGTGAGTTTTGCAGATTGACACTGGCGACCACAGGATGTGTGGCGGTATTCCTACGGAAGATGAGTAACCTGTGAAAAAAAAATATGGTCACTGAATTTTTCTGACAAACGGGATCCAAACTATTTAGGTCTATATAAATATGAGTTCCAGGACTCAAGTTACTGACCTATTTGCAAACGTGAAGAGGACATCCATTCCATAGTTGTAGCCAGTCCATCTCCAACAGTACTGTTAACAAAACAGGAAATTATTCAATGATGAGAACCTTCAATTAACTCAATTATATATTTCTGTCAAAGTCTTTGATTTCCATTTATTTGTTTGCATATCAACAGCTTCAATTAGCACATTGTTTGGTTCAAGTGAACAACACATTAACTTACATCTGTCTCTCTTGCAATGACGCGACCACAACGTAAAGATTGCTGGTCAAATACTTCAGGAGAAATGGCCTCTTCAGTTGGTCTGCAAAGTTTGAAAAAAGAATTGTCAATTAAAATTGAGGGATAGAGGTGTTACCTAAAAGTTTGGAGCTGTATGTAGTGAACTGCAGTCAATTGAAATTACAACTAGAAAAAAAAAAGTTTGCAAGCCTGCCCTCTGTTGACCGTTTTGTCTAATTCACTATCACAGGTTCTCTGATCGAATTATTTATTAGTGGGAAATTTTCACAAATCCGACAAATTCCAGGGAAAATGTTTGTGGAATGGAGATAAAAATAACAAAAGACAAAATGTGTATGTCGCTTACCCCTGGTTGAGACCTTGCTCCAATCCCAGCATGCATTGCCACTGCTGCTGATACACTGGCAGCAACCATTCTTTGAGAGGGGAAAACAATTAATACAAAGATTAAACGCATATGCACATGGTATATGTTCAAGATGACTCCGGCTAACAAAACACCCTTGAAAGAAAACATGTACTTGTAAGTTTCCAATACAAAAAAAAAGGGTCATCAAGAAAAGGTCATCTGATTTGGGGGGGGGGGATGGGGGTCAGGAACATGACCCCTCCCTTCCTGGTCTAAGCGTTGACTTACCCTTGGGTATAATGTGGTCCTTTTCTACATGTTTGCTGGCTGCTAGATCATTGATGATGTGTTGCAGACGGACACCACGGAATAATGAGACGTACTTCTTGCCTCGTTCTGTCTGGAGGAACAACCCGGGTTCTGATAAAAAGTAAAGATTGACAAATAGGTAATTGATAACGAAGGTTAAACCTCCTGAACTCAGACAGGCCTACTACAAATTTTGACTCTGTTTCATCTAGAGATTTCACTACTTTGTTCGATAATCTATGAGTACTTACTATACGCTCTGAAGAATGCATCGGCATCTTTGCTGAGATTCTTGAAGTTCCCATTCCACGAAGGCATCAGCTTCAAAAACACAAACTGTAGGGGAAAAATTTTAGAACTGTTGTTGATTAAAGGGAATATACATCATTTGCTTTTGCTGTAATTTTCAGAAATGGATGGAATAGGGGGGTTGGAAATATAAAGCAAATATAGTTACACTGACTTTTTGGAGGTTTTGGGTTCGAAAATGCTAGAAAAACGATCATTTTCCTGTAGTCTGGTTCCCTGACTCCATATAAGAAGAAACAGAGCAGTTTACATACATTGGGGAATTGTAAGGTCAGGGAACCAGTCTAGCTGGCTGGTACCCGTTCATAGGTTTGTAATCGATTGCAAACAAGTGTAATGGTCAATTGGGGCCAGTATTTGAAAAAAAGCCAGTTGTTTCCAACGCTGATCGGCCGATCAGCGTTGGAAATTGATACAAAAATACCACTTTTCTTGAAAATGACAGTATACCAGGTGCCATAATTTTACAGGATGCTTTAGACTGTCATTTACCAACATCCTGTTAAGGTATTTCGCAAAAACTTGGTAGTTTTATTTTTCGATGTTTGCAAATGTTGTATATTCCCTTTAACGACTGCATATACTTACTCTATCTACAACCAGACAAGAAATTAATAAAAAATGTTTTGCTTCTTTTGTTTGCAAGATTCACATGTTAATTAGTTCATTTTAATTATTTTTGAATTTTTTCACAAGAGATTTAAAACTTCAACGGCTACAAAAAATTCACTTGGAAGTTGTTCTTACCTTTTTGACCATGGAGTAAACATCCATCTCCACCTGAAGCACAAAGAGATTTGGTGACCTTATCACCTTCTCAAATAACTCCAGGCTGCCAAAAAGGTCAAAGGTCACATCAAAATGAATCTCAATAACATCCATAAGACCACCAGAAGAAGCAATTTACTTGTGAAAATCTTAATTTTAGGATTGCTCACCTTAATTCTTGAAGCAAGGAAGCTCTTTGCATGTCCATCAAATTCTGTTCCAACCAGTTAACACAGCTACAAAGAAATACAAAAACAGTGAAATTGCATGTAGATCTTTGTCATTTGATTGGTGGAACTCACATCACGTGACATTCATTATTGCTCCCATTCACACCGGGGGTCAAAAAGTCCCATTCGCCCATGGTGAATGGGATTTACTATTCAACAGTTAGGATCGCTTTTGTTCCATGGCGCAGTATTTGTGTGCAAATGCAAGCTGGTGTGCACATTGAGCGTTGCGCGTATTGTTCCCAAGAGCCAGTAGCTACAGAGTTGGGCTCGTGAAGGGGTGGTTTGGAAGAGAGAAATACATTTCCACCAATTATGTATTGAAATAGAAGTTCATTTTAACTGTAAATCAAATGACAAGGATCTATATGTCAGTTATATAAAACAAACATTGAGTGGCTTTAAATTGTGAAATGAGAGGAATATTATCGCCCGGTAAAATCTGGACTTTTCCAGTTCACTCGGCTTCACTTCGTGAAACAGAAAAGTCCAGATTTTACCTTGCGATAATATTCCTCCCATTCCACTCTGAGCCACTCAACATTTGTATGCTGATCTACACTGACAATAAATACATTGCACAAAAAGTGTTATTTCATTAATTTAATTCACCACAGTCAAATTAAGTCAAATCATGATCATCTTTAGAAACAGGGGATCAACAAATACAAAGGAAAACCTTTCTCAAAAGTCATTAAATACTGACTTGGAACCGACTTGTGATGACATACTTGAACTTGATTAAATCCTTTGAAAATCTGAGAATTATAGGTGTTTGTAATTGCTCAGTTTGATAAAAATGTACATCACTTACTTCCGCGTGACTAGTTCCAATCCATAGGCTGAAGCAGCAGTATGGTAGCAACACACTGTCTTTGTGCTTGAAGACAGAAGGAAATAACACAGAAATGTTAGGAAAACAGTTTACAGAAATTTCAAGAATTTTAGTCATAGCCAATCAGTTCTGAATTCACAGTTTATATTCACTTCAGTTCAAATTCACTTCGGTTATAAAATAGCCCTGGAAATTCACAGACGGAGCAAAAATTAAATTTTAATGTGCAAATGTTCACTGCCTTTTATGCTTACCTTATCGTTTCTGTCATAATGTCTGCACACTGGCAAATCAGTCCATCCTATGAAGAAAGAACAAAATATCATTTTCAAAAATTGACAATTATTTTGGCAAGTCTCAGTTAGAAATAATTCTGCACTGAGGAATTCCAAAATGAACCATTTTGGTATAATCTATGACAAAAATTCTTACCAGTTGTAGAAGTGATGCAGCGGCAAGAATCGGGACAACTTTAGCTGGTTCCAACATGACATCATCACGATACAACGATCCTAAGGCAACTTCAAGTGCTATAACCAAACAACAATGGTTGAATGATCTTGTCAACTCAAGTTTTGGAAAAATTATTTCAAAGGCCGATAAAAAATTGTAATATTTAGAATGGTACCTACATGATTTGCATTTAAAGTATGTTGTGATCTTGGCCCACCTTAGCACTTACCAGCAATGTCTATATTATTGTCTGGGATGTCCATAATAATCTCCTTCAAGTTAGACTCCTTCCATGAGCCGCTGAACATGCTGGCAAAATAACTGGACTGAAAAAAGAACACATAAGCCAACTTGAAATGAGACTACCAAAACAACTGTTCTTCTCAGTTAAGTTTCAGTCTATGATCGGACTAAGTTGATGTCCTTACTTTCTTTTAAGTTGAAACTATTTTAAAAACATATTTTCCTGGAAATAGGGGTATTCAGTTGTCATAAAAAGAAAAAAAATCAAAACTGTTTTCTTCTAAAACCACATACCTGGCAGAGATATATCTTGTGTAGATACCACTCCTTGCCCAATGCGTAGATAGTGATATCTGAGTTCTCTCCATTGACAAACAATGTGTCATAAATGTACTTAGATGTTGATTTCAGTTTCTTCCTAATATAATACAAAAGAAAAACATATATAGGTCTAATATTAAATCCTGTATTCGTTGTGTTATTTTGCTTAGGACCGAGCTGAAATAAAAAAAATAATGTTAATGTTAGGCTGAAAATAAAATTATAATAAAAAGTTAACAAAACAACACCAAACGTGACAGTTCGCGTGATATAAATCATCAAAATTCAAATTGAATTTTTTTCAAAGAATGCAGTATCCAGATGCCACTTTTTTGGTTGTATACAAAGTCTATCAACTCTCCATAGGCTATATGGAGAGTTGAATGCATTTTTGAAATTGGAAATGTTTTCCAGACCCAGATTCATGTCTTTTTAACAACATTTTTTTGCAATGACTGATCTTTCAATGAGGTAATTATTAATTATGACAAAAAGTGGCGACAGAGTACAGTGCAGGATGCAATATTCTTTCCTTTTAATTTAAGCCAATCATTCTTTGTCTTCATGACTGCTAACCTTTGAGGTGTTCTCATAATTTCGTCTTCTTCGCTGTCATCATCACTGTCATCCCGCCCTCTTTTCTTCTTCCGTTTCTGACTTGATTCACCCAGGCCGACGAACCACCTTCCGGCTGACAAATAGCCTCCCATTTCCCCCAAAAATTTCACTTCAGTGCAACCTTAAAATAGCCAAAGCAGTCTATGATATGTTACCTATAAAACAGTAAACTTAGAGACATTAAGGATGAGGATTTATAGCATTTTTGACTTTAAAAAGCTTTACAGATAATATTACTTCGGAAGTTCGTTCCATGGAAGCCGCCATGTTGTTTCCGCCCTCTAGCAAATAACAGTAAACGAGAAACAAATCAACGCTGGTACCCGGTGTTCGCATTATGTTTTTCGCGTTGTATGACGACTACCATGCACGGAACAGAGGAGGGTGAGAAGAGGGGTGGAGCTTGGAGAGAAGGGGGTATTTAGAGTTGTAAAGTTCGGAAAATTAAGTGGGTATATCCATTTTATCTTTAAAAAAATAAAGCTTTATTGTTTGAAGGAAATGTCCCGATCAACCCGGAGCATTAAAAGATCTGTGGAATGAATCAAAGTTCATTCACCTGAAAGCGTGCATTAAAGTGTTATTCTCAAAATTGTTATAATGGTAGGCCTAGACCACTAACTTCAGTCTCTCTTTACTAACTTTAGACCTGCATGTATAGGTCTTACTGAATGCTTAACAAAGAAGTATTTTACCATCGTATATTTAGCTACATTACATTAGTATTGTAACGCTCTCAAGTTAATTAGTAGATGTTTACCATCTCACAAGTATAATGGGTATTATAATGGTGTTTTAGCGCTTTTAGGACCGTGGCGCCGACTTGTCCGGTGACCGGATTGTAAAATCTGCATGTTACAGGACCACGTGATCATACGTCATGTCATTGATGGGAAAGTTACCGACTGTTCCATTTCACACGAAGGGGTTAATAAATCGGATTTTCTGTGCCGATTTTCGCTATGAGCCCATTTGAGGTTGATAGAGGGACACTGATAACATTGTCTCTTTAGGGCGCAAGGTCAAAGTTCTCACTGACCAATGGCATGATGCAAACTAAGATTTATTAAGATGTCTGTAATACAGTTTAACTAATGGCCGACGTTACAAGAATGTTGAAATTTACTTGAAATTCGAGCCTCGCGGCAGGTGCGAAGTGGTTAGATTAATTGTTGAGGTACGTCTTGGAAGGAACGGGCCGGGCAACCTTGGGCATGTTGGGTTCACTACACACTCCACTGACTACAGAGAAAGCCCACACTCAGTGGCAGACATCGTAATAGCCACAGAGCACTGGACAGGGCAGCATCCAACAAACCCAGCCCCTTACCCCACGGGCAAATGGGATCTTGTCTGGGTCTGTACGGTGCTGTGGTTACGCTGCAGGGCTCCTAACAATACACCGTCGTAACCGCGAGTATGGGTAAAGGTCTTGCCGGCCCAGTGAGTGAGTTACGGGACAATAGCCCCATGATGTACCTCTTTGATTCAATTAGTGGACGATTTCTAGGGTGAAAGGCAGCCACCCACTTGTCGTGTACACTCTAATGTCCCTGGCACACGACCCAACTAGCTTCCCAAACCGCTTTGTCTGTGTTTGAGACAGGTCCAGACAGACCTGTGAACCGCGTGCCCCTCTAGAGTCAAACAAACTCCAAAAAGAAAACACAAGTTGTCCCAAAACAACCAGACAGCATTGTTCCCGCCAAAAACTTGAACACCAGGACGCCTTTTTTAAACGCCCCCTTTTGTTCCCTCCACCGATATAAGTTTCCTACCCAGGCTCAGAAGTGGTACTTTCCGAGATCTATATCCTCCGTGAACACCTAAATCTTTCAGCCTTGCCTTAAGCGATATTTACTGAGTTAATTTTGGAGTGGCCACTTTAGTTTTAATTCAGTAGAACCGCAGACTGAGTTTCAGACATCCACTTGACTCAATCTCCGGAGTTTCGAGAATGACCAAGAACTTGACCAGCTTTGGTGGGGTGGTGAGCGTCGCTGCGCCCCATCGCTCCGTCGTTGTCTACTCGCTGCTCGCCGTGTTGACCACGTGCCACGCCTTCGATGCCTTCTTCCTGAACACCCCTACCTTAGGTGCGATGTCTGACCGTCGGGCGAAGAGAGACGCCCCGATACCCAAGCTCCGAGACTTCGAAGGCGAGCTGGACTTCCTGACTTCCTTGGAACTCCAACACGGCATGGAGTTTGCTTCCAATCACAGCTCACCCAAATACATGCTGGACCTGTACGGCTCAATGGAAACCGGGGAGAATTTGGTACACCCATCGGCAGAGGAGAAGGCCGCCATCGTGGAGTCTGACACCGTCAGGAGTTTCGCTGCTACTGTTGTTGGTAAGTCTCTCTCAATTTTCAATGTTATAGTTTTTCTTTGAAAAAAATATGGCAATCTGTGTTTTTTCTTCAATCACTAGGGCCCCGTCGATGTGCCAATTTAATTTCACCTATCGTGCATTTTATTGTCGAATTGTTGGTCACCCATTTCAAATTGTAATGTGCGGTGGTTGAAAACGGTAATGGTTCCAGAAATGTGAGGTAATTTTCCATGTTGAAACGGTGTAATTGAATCTCATTCTTAATTTTTCTAAAAACTGATGCCAAAGTTGTACGCCGAAGGATGTTAATTTTTAAATCATAAATTTTATTTTTTGATTCTCTTTTGACAACCATCATAGTCATCCAAAATGGCTGTCATTACTAACGTCATAGCAAAAATTGTATTTGAATCTTCCCTTCTTTCTTTTTTTTTTCACCTGTTTTTCCGAATCCAAAATATAAAAGTTTGTTTTATTTATTCAATTCCTTTTTGTTTTTGCAATTTTAATGTGTCATTTCAAATGCGATGACTCTAACTTTTAAGTGGAGTTTGCAACAGGAATTTGAATCTCAATAAGCTATTTGTTTTTCAACTAAAGGCTGTGCATATACATGTACTTTCAAAGTCAAGCTGTATTTTTTAAGCCTATTTAGAAGTCGAAAGGTAACTTTAAAACTGCATGGAATTCAAAACAAAGCAAACATTTTCATAAATCCATTGATGGTCTTTTTACCTTAAAATTTCCCCTTCGGTTAATACCGTTTAAAACTGTAAATTGCAAACACTGTGTTCACTTTTCCTTCTACATTTTGTATTTTAATTTAACAACTTTTTTCATTAGCAATGTATTTAAGTCGAATGCTAGATTACTTCACTGAAGCACCCACTTAAAAACGTACACTTGTTCATCCACTTTCCACACAACGCAGTTTTCCTCCGAATCCCCCTTGACTTAATTTGTTATTCAAACATTAATTAAGCCGTCTGCAAACTCGCTAAAGGTCCGCCAATAGACCACCTATTATCACGATAGAGCTAATTTGTAGCGGGGCACTGGCCTGGGCACTTAAGCCTCGTACTCGCCGGGTCTTTTCATGCCTGTACGTAATTGTTGTGCTAAGTGCAGCGGCTTACAGAATGAGCTTACCGCTGTTTTGTTGCTGAGACATGAGCTAACTACCTTCAGTATTTAGGAGAAGATTAAGCTCTAGTAAGCGAATGTTGGAAAACTTAGGCCCGTGGGAAGAAGTCTTTGAGAAACTTGAGTGCAAATGCTAGCACATTGAGTAACTTTTTGATGTTTGGAAATATACCTGGTTTGCAAAGCTTACTTCCGTTATTGAAATCCATATGATTGCACTTTTCAGAAAAGCAACACATTTATTGATAACTTAAAAGTGTGAAAATTTACTTTGTTGATTATTGTAATGGACTACTACACAACCGTACTGTTCATGAATTGGAAGAATGTGACCAAAGCGAGGCTCGAACCAGAACAGTCTGACTTTGCCAATACCGTTTTTACTTCAACTTGGAAAATTTATTCATGATTTTTTTTCTTTTCTTCTTTTTTTCCTGCAGAATCCAACAGCACATCCGAGACCAACTTCACCAGGAAGTGGCTGGCCAACTTCCGTGTCACCTCGGTCTCAGAGCTGGAGGAGCGAGTCCGTCTGGCCGAACTTCGAATCCTCCTGAACCGTTCCTGGCGCAAGTTCACTCTTGAGGTCGCCCTTCACCACTGGGCTCCCGCCCCTTGCCCTCACGACCCCACCCTCTTCGAGTGCTTGCAAAAGCAGCTGTTGATGTCTCGCCTGCTGCCCACGTATCGCCACGATGACTACGATGGCCGGGAGGTGTTTGATGTCACCGAGGGACTGCGGCATTGGTTCACCGAGAGTCCTACCTGGCGAGGCGAGTACGAATTGGAGATTCGTACCGTCCACAGCGTCCAGAACCCCGAGGACTCAGCTGCTACAGACACGCTGGATGACTCTTCTTCGTACTCCTTCTCATCATCTGTCGAAGACTCAACCCTGGATGAGTCTGCTGCAAGCCCCAGTGCTCTTGATGATGTTGTCTTAGTGGTGTTCTCCCGTGCCTTGCATCCAGTCAGCATCACTCTCGACGCAGCCGGCTCTGTCAAGGTCCGCACTCCTCGCTCATCGAAGTCATCTCGCAAAGACAAGAAACCCAAGAAGTCTACCTCAGCTGCCAGAGAGGAGCAGGAACGCCTCGTCCAGGAGAAACTCCTTCGCGAACTTTTCGCCAGCAAGGAGGAGACGGGTCCTTGCAGGCGGGTCCCCATGGACGTGGACTTCTACAACAATGGCTGGGCTCGGTGGATCGTCTACCCTAAGCGCTTCGACGCCTACAGGTGCGCTGGCAGATGCACTGGCCCGCTTGGATCTAAGGACAACCCGAGTAACCACGCCATTATGCAGAACATGGTTCGTGCCAGCCGCCCCGACAGGGCACCCGAGCCTTGCTGTATACCCACCAAACTCTCACCGCTGAGTATGATCTACCTGGAACATGGGAACATTGTCATGAAACATCATGAAGACATGATCGTTGAGGAGTGTGGTTGCCGATGAACTCTTAGTGAACTGCTCTGAAAAGTTTGGTGGTAATCTCCTTGTTACACTGGACATACTTTTTTTAAGCCAAGGTTATGGTTGTTTAACTCGAAAAGTAACCAAAGTTAATGTCTCACTTTTAGCTGACACAAATGTAAATTAATGGTTTCAACTTTGAATATACTCTCGATCAAATCTGTTCTATATTCATTGCAATTTTACAAATGGTTGTAATTTAATATTAAAGATGATTCTATACATAAAAAGTATACTTTACTATAAACTAATTTGATAAAGTGTCATTCAAAAAAACCTTGTAACAAACTAAATTTTCGCCTTCGTCCCCAGTTAGCAAAATTCCTTCGCATTTTGGCCAATTTAGGACTTTATATTAATTCAAGATAAAAGTGTAATAAATTGATCGAATTATAGTTTAATTTCTAAACACCTAATTTGTCAAACTCACTGTAAACACACGAGTCAATGTTTAACTACAGAACTCATAAATGTGAAGCTTGTTTAAACTGCAAATGAGAAGTTATTCATCACAGTTAATTCAATTATAATAATGAAAAGATAAACGAGTAAATAATTTTGCTTAATTTCTTATGAAATTTTGACAATCAAATCAAAAAAGTAAAACTTTTTTGCTGTAATAAAATATACAAACACCTTTAGTTATTTCTAATCATGTTTTGTAAATTCGCATTTTTACAATTTGATCGGGTAATTTGGGAGGGACTATTTTTTAAATAACTTGTATTTTAATGAATTTTTAACATTGATCGATCAAACTTATGAAATTGTACAAATTGTAATATACAGAAAAGAAATTATGTACGATAGCCGATGATTGCATTTTAATCTTTATGAAGATTGTTTTCATTACAATACAGAATGAAAACTTTGAAATTTGATAAATCAATATTAAACTGTGTACTGATTTCAGTTTTATGGAGTTTATCCTTACTTCAATCTTTTCTCACGATAGGTGGATAAATTTGTGAAGATTCTTTTTTTAGGGGGGGGGATAAGATTACTCTATTGAGTTTTTTTTCCAGATTTGCCTCAACAGAGGGCGTCATATTTATTCACTTACCATGCGTTTGCGTAGTTTACTTAGATTGGATCCAGGTCACTCTCGGGTGGGAATATGCAAGACTTGATCAACATAATAGCTGTCAACAGAGGGCGACATGTTGTTCGTTCGCAACAGTTTCGTGGCAAACTGCATGAACGAAGACCAGCTATTGGTGGCAAAGATTCTTATAACAAAAACAATTATAATAAATTGTTTTATAACAAAATAAGATGGTTGTTTTCATGATTATATAGGTTAGCCGGGAAGATAAACCATCATAAAGTAAATTTAGCTCTTGCAGTGAAACTACGATTTCTTAAAAATGTTTCAAAGATTCGCTCTTATCATTCGTTATAGGCATAAGGGCCAAAATAAATAATTGAGGAAAAGATGGCACAATTAAAAATCATATCTACCAACCGACCTAGGCCCATCTTTTGTTTTTTTTTTTTTTTTACAGAATCATGGTTCAAACGTAGGCGAGCAGACTCCCCTACATATTAATTCCACCGCTTTCCCTCCAAACAATTTGCAAGTAGATATCACCGACGCAGGCACGGAGCAAAAATAACAATCGCCGGTTTCCATGGTAATTGCTGAGGTTTTTGTGGCGGAGCGATTAGTCTTTGAAGGCAGCCAGCCGTACGGGCGCGCGTCTCTACGGTTGAATCCTGCCATCGATGGCAGCAATCGTCCGTGGGTCGCCGTGAGTAAAGCCAACACAGGCCTGCAATTACCCAGGCTTGAGATCAGGAAAACATCCTCCATCAAGGCCATCCAAACTCCATCAAAATACAGAACACATGAGAGCTAGAAACAAGCCGTCTGATATCTATTACCATCCCTCTCAACAAACAGGATGTGATAGCTTTCATGCCTGTTATAAAAATGCTAGAGGAATACAAAAAAATGTATAAAAAGTGATTCCAAATTGATGGGAATAAGATTAGGTATAATGTCGATAGACGGTATCGCTCAACATGGCGTCTAGAAGTTGATGAGCTACGATTGCATTGGAGGATGATGACAACATTATTGTAACAAGAAGAAACGGATCATTCTTTATTGGTAAGACTTTAATAACTCCTGGCAATAAATGTATTAGTGACTGGCATAAACGACACAATACAATATCAAGGCCCACCGTCGTATTAAATAAAGTCGTATTTCTAGGGGGTCGACTGAGGGCGGGTCCAATCAAATTACTCGTGAAATGTGAAAGTTTACTCTATCAAAACGACATCACCAGAACGTGGAACATGTGACGACTGGTGTTAATACGAATGATTAAGTAGAAAATATGGGTCAAATAAAATTAAGTATTTAAAGCCTGATCGGAGAAACATGTTTGGGAAAAGTCAACGCACATTCATGCCATCTGGTTTTCATACCTTTAAAATGATGATTATCTATCGATAACACTGGTGCTATGGAATGTACACCAAGCCTTTATGAGTTGGGCGACTCTAGTGTATCTCATCCAGAGATCACGGAACTGTGATCTATACCGCACATGCGCGGTCACCGACTTCTTAACATGGCTGATAGATCTGTGTCTGAATTCTAGATGGCGTCCTCAACCTACTTACGATGATCAGTGAAGGACAACGACAAATACTTTTCAAGAAGCAACTTAAGTAGAACTAAAACGCACACCCAACAGGCTTTAAAAAAGAAGAAGATATCACAGGTTGTCATAATCACGGTCAGATTACAACAGTAATGGTTTGATATGTTACATCAGTTGTCTAGCTGTACACTTGGTATTTCTTTTCAGCCGTTGCAAAATAACGGAATTCTAAGGTTTCTTTGTCACCGCGCATTTTATGTAATTAAATTTGCGTTCCTCGTACTGTTTTCGAGTTTCATTCCGAAAAATAGATTCCTTTTCCGAATCGCTAGTTTTCTAGTATTACAAAAGTTATTCACTTTTGAATGAGACATCGACCGAAAAAATTGACCCATGTTTAGTTATTGTATTCTTACTTTACATGCAGTTTCGACCGACAATAATACCGTTCTCGCGGGGTAGACTGGTTTCTACCCACAATCATGCTTGCAGTGTGGATAATGTATGGACTGGGAACCAGTCTGCTTGCAAAGCGGATCTGTGTTCAAACCATAAACCTTGTTATCCAGAGAGTTGCAGACGTTAAAAAAAAAAAAGGAAATGAGTTTTTTTTGGTTGGAATAAAATGCAGTTAAACAATTGATTTTGATGAAGAGCATGGGAACGCAACTTTGAGTGATTTGTTTGGTATGATAACCGATGCCAAAACGTGCTCAGACACGAACCAACGAACGAGTGGAGAAAAAAAAGGACATCGACCCGCAAACTAATCACTTTGATTATCGTCTAAACGCACTCTGTTTGCTTTGATCTTCCAATTGCTTCACAACTGCCAAACGAAAACACTCATTCCGTGACAGGGGGTGTAAGCTCGATTCATAAACCTGTCACATTGGCAAACGATCCTTCGCAATGTAAAGTGCAATTCAGTTGATTATCACGTTCAATACTGGAAACGTAATCAGACAAATCGGTCATATATTCGGCAGTGTTGGCCTATGCCTGCCCGACCTTGCCCTTAACTTGAAATTTATTTTTTTGTTCCTTGGTAGAACCAAACTTTTCGAATCCTTTCGGGTTGTCTTTGCCTCTGGCATTAGCTCCCGTTTTTCCCCCGGTAACTTGGAACAAATTACTGCTGAAATGTCACATTCGAAGCCTCACTACCTGAAAAAATGTAATAAATAAAACGATTCCACGCTCATGTCTCTGGGATTTATTTCTTGATTCGTCAGAGAGTCACATTCACTTCATGTTTCAATCCAAAGAGCTACAGCTCTTAACTAGCTCTGAATTTCAGCCTAAACGGGTGATGGTGGATACTCCGATGAACCATTATCGGTTGTAATACCTCACGCTCGTGCGCTGCCTTCTGAATTGTCATTTATATTTCGCATTGACTATCGCGTTGATGAAGGACACACCAAGCGCAATAGGGTTGCGTGCATTGTGCGAGAACGCCCCCAGACACGCTACGCTCGGAACAGCGCACGCGGCACTTTATCTACGAATCGCATCGACACATCTTTCATATAAGGTTTTCTTCGCGTGTCGGTACTTCACAGCACTTTTCCTCGAGAGCTGGTCTACCTGTCCGATCGTTTATTTCTCGATATGTCAAGCAGCCATCTGCGAACCGATCTCACAGCAAGGCGAGGAAAATTGGATTGTTGGATTTGAAGTCGGAAGAGCTTTATAAAAATCACATTTTTCAAGTTGGTGTTTTTAACTTTTCTATCAAGTTAACGGTCTTTGTCAGCGACGAAGACAAGTGGATTTAGGGGACTGCAGTTTCAGCAACGTGAGTATTAATATATTATATTTTTCCAATCATGATTTTTTTCTCATATTGCAGTAAAAAGTTACAAAGCAACACATTTTACAAACGTTATTTGTATCCCTCTGGCTTTTAAGCCACAAAGGGGGATTTAATTGTGCTAGTGTATTCCCTCTGTGTGTCCGTCCGCTGTCCGTCTGGCTGGAATGTCCGTCCGTGGGTAACATTTTGGTTAGGTTAACTGTTTAGTGCTGTCATATGAAAAGTCAGACTTCACTCTCAACCAAACTTGGTGACAATAAGCTTTGGGTAGAGGAACTTCAGATGACTTGAGACATTGAGGTCAAAGGTCATCTAGGGGTCAACAAGGTCAGTGTTCATCTTTGTTAGGTAACTTGAAAAGTGCAGCCATATGAAAAGTCTGACTTCACTCTCGACCAAACTTGGTGACAATAATCTTTGGGTAAGGGGACTTCAGATGACTTCAGACATTTGAGGTCAAAGGTCATCTTTAAAATTAGGTCATTGTTGATTTTGGTTAGGTCAACTGAAAGTGTGCTTACTAACTTACTGTGTAAATACTGCCTTCATGCCAGGGGAGGATTTTCTATATGCATTTGCAACATCAAAAAGATACATTAACGTGAAAATTATAGTATTCTAAAGGTTTATTTTGGAAAATGTTGAATTTTAATGAGGATGGTTTTATTGGAATGGAATCGTCCGGGATGGGCACTGAGAATGCCATTTCATGAGATTTACCCGTATAACTACGCATTTTTGTAACGGAATACAAAAACATTTTGACAGTCTTACTGAACTTTCCTTGAATCCTTTGTGTTCTGGAGTGTATTTCCCATTTCACACGCCACGCTAACAACATAGACGTGTAGCATCAAATTGACAATTTTGCGGGTGCATATTTCGGATAGGGTTGGAGAGATGGACCTCTCCGCGGTCTGTAATTTAATTAGACGCACGGCATGTTATACGGAAAACAGATATATAAATCAGATAGGCGACAGTGGGTCACAAAAAACACAAGCATTTCGCTGAACTATTAACAGTAATTGCCAGGAATACCCAGGATTTATTTATCTAAACCATTGGAAATGCGCCATTTGCGGATGATTGGCTTATCGTCTTAATTTCTCCAGAGGATGACGCTAAGCTGTCCTCGAATTATTATTACCAAACCAAAGGCAATGATCGTCGACTATATTAATAGTATGCTTATTAATCAATCAAATCATGCATAATTGATTAACATGATTATGCATATTATACTAATACATTAAATTATCATATGGGTTTCACAATCCTAGTTATAAACTCAAATTAAAAGATGTCCTTATATAGTCTTCGTGCGTGCTCAACTTCAAATATCTAACATGAAGCATATTTTATATTCCTACTTCATCTTATATATCGATATATTGTTTATTCACCATCAACAATAATTAGCATTGCAATATTGCTTCGTGAGTCGGGCATTTTAGCGTCCAATTCGCTAAAT